CCATTTTTTTTATTATTTAGAAACATTTGATATTGACTTAAAATGAAATAAAATGATTTCTGCTTTTTCTAGGAATCCTGTCAATATCTTTATTTAATTATATTTTGCATCACACCAAATACAAATTTGGGTCTCAGGAGGTTAAATGAATAATAAAAAATTTGCTTTTCATGAAGAAAAGAAAAAGTCTACTTTTTTACAGCTATGTTTGTAGGGTGTAGAAAGAAGGCATGAAGTAACTTTATCCATATGAACTTTATTACAAGCAGGAGGGTCAAGCATACTAAATGAGTTTCCTTTATAAAAGATGACATACCGTAATAGTTGCCTTATAATGCTGTTTAAATGTTGCTCACTGGCAGTTTTTAATGATCAGGATATTAAAAGGCCTTGGATGTGATAAGTTCCCATGATAGATCATTATAACAGCAGAGTTATTAACAATAGTGACCTGAAGGAACAGGAACTTCATCAATTTTTATTTTTATGGCTCCACGTTTCTATCAGTGGCACAAAGGATCTGTTATTTCTTTTTTTTATATTTTATTTTTTTTATTTTTCCTCTTTTTTTCTCCTTTTTTAAAAATATTTTGTCTTATGTTCAAATAAATGTATCAATCAATCAAAATAAATAAATCTTTTTTTAACAAATTATTTAATTTATTGGTTGCTATTTGTATGTGAAGATCATTTCAATATGGCATAAGATCCACCCCTCCCCCACAAAAGATCTAAGACTGTACTTTTAAAGTGATCAGGCTCAGTGTGTCAATCTAAAACAATCAGTGTTAGCTTTTGATAATCCAAACCCGTCTATCCCACATCTCTAACTAGAATTCAGCTAAAAACTGAGTAAGAAAGGATCTGTTATTTCTAAAAGAGAAGGTTAAAACTGATCCCAGCTGTTTTAGTATTTCTGAGAAAAATCTCTTTTGGATAAAACGTCTCAGAGTTTGTTTGAGATGAAAGCCTTTTGATTTGGAGGTTTATTGGCCTCCGTTTGTGAAATCAGAATAATCTGAAGGAAAACTCTCTTTTGATAACCAGGGTAATCTGTCTCTATAAAAGCCAACAGCGATAGCAGCAGCCCTTTGAGCCAGGTTATTATAAACGATGCTGAGCTGATGACCCGATGCCAAAAATACAAGTGGGAGTCCGAGCGAGACAAGAAATTTCTCTTTGTCTCTGCTTATTCATTCATGAACAGCCACTAAACAAGGACACGGGTGCCGCGAGATGCGTCCTTGTTTGGGCCTTTTCATGAATGAATAAATAGACGGAGGAAATTCCATTTCTCCATTTTCAAACCCGCAGACGTGTTTAAATTATGGTGGTGGCGTCAGAGCTGTGTTTGAGCGCTGTCAGGAGGGAGGAAGAGGGCCCCACCTCAGAGGAAGCTGTAATCTCTGAGAGCCACCCTGAGAAGTTGTGCAGGTCAGCGCGGCTCCAGCTGGAGGAACAATGGGGATAATACTGACTCACCTACTCAGCAGTATGTGCTTATGGGTCAGTGTGGGGGAGTCATTTCCAGGGGTGTATTGGATTATTTTCCCTGTGTGAGTTTATATGTGAGAACAAGGTTAAGTGTGTGAGTCAATGTGTGTTCATTGCACCTTTGCCATGTGGAACTGACAAATGTTTTTGTGGGTTATTTTCCTCCTGACTGCCTTGTACGATCAGGGCTGACCACAGGAAGTTGTGTGCTGTTTTTTTAAAGCTTAAAGCTTCTTAGGGCGTGCCACTCATCCTTCTTAATCCTATTTCTATTAATAATTTAAAAATTACATTTGTTTTCTTCTTTTTCATCTAAATAAATATTAGTTTTATAGCTGAATTATAGTGAACTGCAACAAAAACCATAGACATCCACATTAAAGAGACATGGTGCAGTTTTTACCATTAATTTCTGGAAACATCCATCAAAATGTTGTTAAAAATGAATGAAAAGATGCCCAGTTGTTGAAAAATATTAGCGGCTTTGTAACATATAACCATAAAAATTTGGTTGAAAATACATGGGAGCGGGTCTAAGGATGTTTCTCAATGCCAAGGAACCTCACCTTGATGTCTTGGCCCCGCCCCAGTTGCCTAGGAGATACGTCACCAAGACGTGTTCCAATGTTCATGTTCTACCGAGGCATGTGTTCTCCGTTTGTTAGCCGTTTAGCTAGCTGAGCGAGGATACACGGGAGGTGTCTTGTAGCCTAGCCTTGGTCTAAAATTACCCAGAATACACCGCAATATTTTCAAAAGGACGGCCGATCAGAAGCCGGCAGCTACTTCGGGGACAATTTTCAAGTTTAAAAGTAAGTCAACTAATTAAAAATGTTTTTTTAAGATCCAAAGAAGTTGTCTATGGTTGGTTAGTTGCTTAGTAGTTGCAGCTTGACAATTTAAAAAGTAAAAGTCTTGTTATATATTTATATTGAAACTAATATGTATAAAATATAACGTTACATTACATGACCATGGAAGCCACATTTACTGATTTGTAACAAACGTATTTTGCTGAAGTTTGCGCTCCCCACGGATTTTTTTTACCCTAATGGGCATCCATTGGTGAGGTCTTACTCTAACAAAAAAATACTGCTTGCTTGCAACAATTTAGGTATCTACTGCCCCCTATCGCCAGGGAAAATACACGCTGTTACTTTAAATTGTTGATAGTGTTTAATCAGTTTTTTTATTTTATTTTTATTAGGCAAAAAATTGATTAAAAAATTACAATAAAATTAAAATAAAAACTATTTTACATTTGTGTGTGTGTGTGTGTGTGTGTGTGTGTGTGTGTGTGTGTGTGTGTGTGTCTATATATATATATAGACACACACACACACACACATTTAAAAAGTAAAAGTCTTGTTATATATTTATATTGAAACTAATATGTATAAAATATAACGTTACATTGCATGACCAACCATATATACACACACACACACATCACTTCTGTACAGGGAGTGCGGAATTATTAGGCACATGAGTATTTTGTCCACATCATCCTCTTCATGCATGTTGTCTTACTCCAAGCTGTATAGGCTCGAAAGCCTACTACCATTTAAGCATATTAGGTGATGTGCATCTCTGTAATGAGAAGGGGCGTGGTCTAATGACATCAACACCCTATATCAGGTGTGCATAATTATTAGGCAGCTTCCTTTCCTTTGGCAAAATGGGTCAAAAGAAGGAATTGACAGGCTCAGAAAAGTCAAAAATAGTGAGATATCTTGCAGAGGGATGCAGCAGTCTTAAAATTGCAAAGCTTCTGAAGCGGGATCATCGAACAATCAAGCGTTTCATTCAAAATAGTCAACAGGGTCGCAAGAAGCGTGTGGACAAACCAAGGTGCAAAATAACTGCCTATGAACTGAGAAAAGTCAAGCGTGCAGCTGCCAAGGTGCCACTTGCCACCAGTATGGCCATATTTCAGAGCTGCAACATCACTGGAGTGCCCAAAAGCACAAGGTGTGCAATACTCAGAGACATGGCCAAGGTGAGAAAGGCTGAAAGACCACCACCACTGAATAACACACACAAGCTGAAACGTCAAGACTGGGCCAAGAAATATCTCAAGACTGATGTTTCTAAGGTTTTATGGACTGATGAAATGAGAGTGAGTCTTGATGGGCCAGATGGATGGGCCCGTGGCTGGATTGGTAAAGGGCAGAGAGCTCCAGTCCGACTCCGACGACAGCAAGGTGGAGGTGGAGTACTGGTTTGGGCTGGTATCATCAAAGATGAGCTTGTGGGGCCTTTTCGGGTTGAGGATGGAGTCAAGCTCAACTCCCAGTCCTACTGCCAGTTTCTGGAAGACACCTTCTTCAAGCAGTGGTACAGGAAGAAGTCTGCATCCTTCAAGAAAAACATGATTTTCATGCAGGACAATGCTCCATCACACGCGTCCAAGTACTCCACAGCGTGGCTGGCAAGAAAGGGTATAAAAGAAGAAAAACTAATGACATGGCCTCCTTGTTCACCTGATCTGAACCCCATTGAGAACCTGTGGTCCAGCATCAAATGTGAGATTTACAAGGAGGGAAAACAGTACACCTCTCTGAACAGCGTCTGGGAGGCTGTGGTTGCTGCTGCAATCAATGTTGATGGTGAACAGATCAAAACACTGACAGAATCCATGGATGGCAGGCTTTTGAGTGTCCTTGCAAAGAAAGGTGGCTATATTGGTTGCTGATTTGTTTTTGTATTGTTTTTGAATGTCAGAAATGTATTTGTGAATGTGGAGATGTTATTTTGGTTTCACTGGCAAAAATAAATAATTGAAATGGGTATCTATTTGTTTTTTGTTAAGTTGCCTAATAATTATGCACAGTAATAGTCACCTGCACACACAGATATCCCCCTAAAATAGCTACAACTAAAAACAAACTAAAAACTACTTCCAAAAACATTCAGCTTTGATATTAATGAGTTGTTTGGGTTCATTGAGAACATGGTTGTTGTTCAATAATAAAATTGTTCCTCAAAAATACAACTTGCCTAATAATTCTGCACTCCCTGTAATCCCCCAGCAGAGTAAAATTCCGGGGTTTTGGGGCCAGAGCGGCCACCCGCTAACCCTGCCCCACATACATGTTAATTTCAGGTTGCTGGTTCCAAGAAAATTAGAAGACATCATGTAAAAATTTAAACACTTTTTCATCATTTTATGATTTTTATCTCTAACTGCATGTTTATATATATTTATTTCTATTTTAATCAGATTCTGGATCAAATTACTTTTCCCTAAAGTTTATTTTCCTCATGTTTTAGGCAGCAGTTCACCTGACACGTCCAAGTACTAAGCAGGCAAAATCATGTCTCATGAATTATGTGCAAGCATTAGTTGATCCGTATCTACAAGAAAAAGCCTGCTCATAATGGCCTTGCGTTAAGCCAAATGCACCCCCACTGCTTCAGAGAGGGATAATTTATGAGCCTGCAGCTTAATGTGGAACATTTGGAAAACGTCTGTTGTGGTGTGAGTGAGTGATGAAGGTTTGTACCATCGGAACGGGGAACTGGCTCTGTCCGGGTTTGAAAACAGCTCGGTTGCACAGACCAGCCACACGGGAAAGAGCTGCCCAAGTAGCGGAGCTCTTGTCAAACGCCGTACCTGAGAGAATAGCAGAAGGACCTGAGTTAGACTTTACTTAAGCAGAGCTCATTCACTATTTATTCTCCTGACTTAACTCTCGGATCACAGAGTACCTCTGGATATTGTAGCTAAATAACAGGGCTGGGGTCACTTGAGTTGAGCGATCCCCTTTACTTTGACAGAAGTGATTTTTCAACTCCCCAGTCTGGAAAATGGGATCCATTTTTAACAAGAATGCCTTCAAAAATAAGAGCTTCCAGGAAAGTGTTTGTATCAGGATTTCAACTTTCCCACCCAGTCGAGTTAGGAACGACCTTCAGTCTGCTGCATTCATTTTTCATATTTGCCCGGATGTCACGGTGCTCCCTGCTGCTGAACAGGCAGTCTGCAGCCGGGGCTGCTGGGGTGGACACGGAAACGTGGAAGACCTGCAAAAGCTGCAGAAATTAGGTGTTTTTGTGCAGCCTTTGTAAGCACCACTGGTTTATCGTACGGATGCAGAATTGTCTGACTCAGAACTCGTTAGTATGCATGGGACACCTGTTTGTTGTCTGCCAAACCTTTTGGTGAATGCTGGAGGCTTCTTTAAAAATCTGGCTTGCTTTTTCTTTCATTGGTGGGAGGAAGGAATCTGATTGGTTCCACAGCAGCAGCCCTGCCGAGGAAGAGCGGTGTGTTTTGCCACCCATCGCATTCCACTTCTCAATTAATCCGGGCAGTGGAGAGAACAGCCGTGTGTGCTGGCGGTGTGACTATTGGACAGATGAATTTTAGCAGGTGGTCCCGCTTTCTCTCTGCATTCCCTCACTCTTTGTGTTTCCTGTTTTTTATAATCTGCAGCCTTCTCCTCCTCTCCAGCTCAGCTCGGTCTTACCCGTCTGGTCTTCGGTGGTGTCCGCCTCATAGATCTCATTGTCAAACCACATGTGGGCCACGGTCATGCGGTTCTGGGTCAGCGTGCCCGTCTTGTCGGAGCAGATGGTGGAGGTGGAGCCGAGCGTCTCCACGGCCTCCAGGTTCTTTACCAGGCAGTTCTTTTTGGCCATTCGCTTGGCAGTGAGAGTCAAACACACCTGGGAGGATGGGATGGAGATGGGGGAGTAAAGGTGAGGATAGATGATTGTTAGCTGAGGAACGGATAGAGAGCATATGAGAGCAGTGGTGCGTTCAAGCGCTTGTATATGTGAAGCCATGTGTGTTTCTGGTTCCTGATGAAAGTGTGTGTGTATATGTGTGTGTGTGTGTGGGGGGGGGGGGGGGCTGTTATCATGGCTAGTTAGCAGTAGCTGAATGTGGACAATTTAATAAAAAAAAAACCACATTCCATACGCTATAAAACACTCTTATTCCCACAAACACGTCATGTAATGAGACATAACTTCCCCCAGACAACCTGTGGGGCATTTAAAGTGAAAGCGGCTAAAGAAATCAGCCACTGGAAGTTCATTTATTTTGTGTGACCAGCGAAATGTCAACTGATGGCATTTCAAATGCCAGCTGGCACCTCCCTCAGCTCACTCCCTTTGTTTTCACAGAAGAACTTAGCTACACTCCAGCCCTGGAACCGTTTCAACACTTCATGATGAATCACTTTGCTGGGTTCTTTTAGCATCTTTGCAGCTACGCTAACATTCACAGAGGGTAAATCATTGTTTGGAGCGCCACAGGTGTAACTAATAACATCGACGACGCTCCTTTTCATTTCACTGTGCCAGTAAACCATAATAATAAACCAGAAGGCACAATGTCAGAGCTGGAATGCTTAAAGCTGCACTAATCGATATTTTTGTGTCAACAACAGATCAAATTTCAGAAGCAGCTGCTGCGCGAAAGCAGATGTATGAATTCAAAACCATATTAGCCATTATCTACAGTTTTAAAGTGATTTTATTCTAATTTTAGTCCAGTGTTTTGGTTTGGAGGCCAGAAAAATCAGTTTTCTACTGAGAATTTTGTCTGGACTTAAAAAATAAAAGATCATTTCAAGACCAATTATGGACTTTCTAAACAAAACTCACTTCATTTTCCCCCCAAACAGACAGTTATGTTTAGGCAACTCTGTGTTGATTAACTTTGGGTATTAAATCCACATGCTTTTATATATTTTATTAGAAATTACACAATTTTAGACTTTTTTGTTCAGCTCTTTGCTGTGCTGCTCCTGACATTATCAAAAACATCTGTTATTGGGTATTTGGAGAATTTTGTTGAATCTCAAACTCACCTACTCATTTTATGCATCTGCATTTAACCCTCTCAGGCTCAAAATAAGTTTTGATAAAAGGACGAACAACTAAGTCCTTCAGGGGTACTTCTGAGTTAAAAAATGCTCATGAAATACATGTGTGGAGTAACCAGGTAGATCGGTTTTAACGTTGCAAATCTGCAACGCCTGCCTCCAGAGGGTTAAATAATTTTCATTGCTCATAAATGAAGGTCAAAGTGCTGAAAGCCATTTCCCCCTTTTCAGAAATCTACAGGCACTTCTGTTGGGAATCGCCCCGAGAGAGAGTTGGTCACTAGGTTGCTGTGCCCCGAAATGGCAAAGACAAGCAGCCTTAAAGGTTAATCATACTGGATAATTCTTGGTATTTTCAATTCCTTCCACAATGAGGCATTTTAGGGTTGTCACGTTAGAAAAACAAGCTAGAGCTTGCCACACCCACCCACTCAGGCTGCTATAAGCTAAGAAGCTCCAATATCTGGGAGGGGCTCAGAGTAGAGTTCCACTGAATAGGTGCCATTTCCTTCTGCTGGAAATTATATCCATAAATGTCTTTGACGACTGGCTGTAGATGCCTTTTCTTATTAAGCAAAATAAGTCATTTGAAACTTAAGATTCGTTATTAAAGGAATTAACAAGAAACAGCATTTGTCATCTGTATCTACTCTGTTTGATTAATTAATTAGTTAATTATTTTTTCTAGTTTGGAGCATTTTTAGAGTAAGTAGAGACCCACATGACAGCACAAAAAGCAGCAAAAGGTGAGTTTTGTATAATATGTTCCCTTTCATGTTTTATTCCTTGCCCTGTAACAACAACGAGTCCACCAATAAAGTGTAGAAACATCTGTGCGCTCCTGCCTCGAAGCTTCAGCATTACTCACAGTGACAGTGGCCAGCAGTCCCTCGGGCACGTTGGCCACGATGATGCCGATGAGGAAGATGACGGCCTCCAGCCATGTGTACCCCAGGATAAGTGACAGGACGAAGAAGCTCACACCCAGGAAAACCGCCACACCGGTGATGATTTGGATGAAGTGTTCGATCTCGATGCTGATGGGCGTCTGGCGGACCTCGAGCTCGGATGCCAAAGTGGCGATGCGACCCATCACGGTCTGGTCACCAGTAGCTATCACAACTCCGCGGGCAGTACCTGATGGAAGGCAGAGGCAAAGGATCAAAAGAAGCTGATAAAAACCTTCATTTGTCTCAGATTGTAATCAATAAGACCTAAAAGTGTTTGTTGTGTCTAACAAATGGGTGACTTTATGACATATCTAGCCCTTCAACATCGCATACACCATTCTTAAAAAACAATAATCCTCATTCCATGTTTCTTTCAGCTGTAGAGGAACAAGAAATAATACAAATTCTAAAAACATGTAAAGGTAAAACATCAACTGACAATCATGGTATTGACATGATGACGGTAAAAAAGGTGATCGAAGGAATTTCAAAACCACTTGCATGTATTTGCAATTTGTCTTTTCAATCAGGTGTATTCCAAAAAATAATGAAAGTTGCAAAAGTTATACCAATAAATAAAACTGGGGATAAGCATCAATTTACAAACTATAGGCCAATTTTATTGCTTCCACAATTTTCCAAGATTCTTGAAAAATTGTTTAATAACCGAATAAATTTGAATAAATACAAGATAATATCAGACTGCCAGTATGGATTTAGATCGAATAGTTCAACATTACTAGCTCTTGTGCATTCTGTGGAAGAAATTACAACGCCAATTGATCAGAAGAAACATGTTCTAGGGATATTTATTGATTTAAAAAAGGCTTTTGATACGGTTAATCATAAAATGTTACTTGAAAAGGTAGAGAGGTATGGGATTAGGGGTGTAGTGTTGAGCTGGTTGACAAGTTATCTACAACAGAGGAGACAGTTTGTGAAGTTTGGAGAATGTTCATCTTCATGGTTGGACATTGTTTGTGGAGTACCACAGGGGTCTGTGTTGGGGCCAAAATTGTTTTTATTATATATTAATGATTTGAGTAAAGTAACAAATACACTGACATTTGTTTTGTTTGCTGATGATACCACTATTTTCTGTGCAGGAGATAATATTAGCGACTTAGAAAGGATTCCAAATTGAAAGGTGCATAATTAAAGAGTGTTTTATTGAAAATAAGCTTACATTAAATATAGCAAAAACAAAATGTATGCTGTTTGGTATGGCTAATAAAACTGAGGTTAAGCTGCAAATAGATGGATGTGAAATTGAGCAAGTAACAGAACATACGTTCCTTGGAATAATAATTGATAATAAATTAAGTTGGAAACCACAGATTAAACATGTATATAATAAGGTTGCGAGAAGCATCTACATTATGAATAAAGCTCGACAGTACTTGGATTATAAATCACTCCATGTCCTTTATTATTCATTGATTTATCCCTATCTTATTTAGTGTGTAGAGGTATGGGGTAACACTTATAAAACATCTATTGTACCCTTGTCTATCATACAGAAAAGAGCCCTGAGAGTCGTTCACAATGTTAGATTTAGAGAACACACTAATCCTTTATTTATATATTTTAAAATACTAAAATTTAAAGATTTACTTCAACTATATACAGCGACGTTCATGTTTAAAGTGCATAGGAAATTATTATCAAACAAATTATTAATGCTATTTATAAAACCAGATGATGTATATAATTTCAGATACAAACTTAACTTTAGGCATACATATTTTAGAACAACATTAAAGTCATTTTGTATTTCTGTTACGGGTGTAAAAGTTTTGAATAAGCTAAGCGGGGATCTAAAACAAAGTCCCTCATTGCATAAGTTGAAAGAGAAGTATAAAAAATTATACTAATTAATTACATGGAGGAGGAGGAAAAGTTGTAAGGGTGTTGCATTTGATTGTAACTGTCTATTGTTGGTGAACTGGGAGCTGTGCATATTGGAAGGGGAGGGGGGGTGAAACATAAAAAAATATAAATTTTGGTTGTGTGATTGAGGATAAAACATGTTATAAGAAAATGGCTATATATATATATATATATATGTGCATATACATATGTATGGGTATCTTTTTGAATACTTTAATTTGTCTATTGAGTTACATGTTCAATAAAGAAAGAAATGAAATGAAAAATGATCACATACAGCAGAAAACTAGCATTCACAGCGAGGAAAACACCACAGGTGTTGAGTTCTTTGTAAACAAGGCAGAGGTTAGATGAGGAGATGATGGCTGAATGTAGAGCAATGATGGATGGAGGCAAATTACAGGTGCTGGCCAGTTACTGAAGGGTGGGCGGACTAAACAGATGCAGGACTAAGTGAGTGACATAAGCATCTGACCACAGACGCCCGTATCAGGAGTTTTTATCATCACTACTTTATTAGCCGAGCCCACCATGGCGTTAAAATCACCAACAGCTGAACTGAATAACACTGATTATCTCCAGAATGCAGTTTTCTGCTATAAATGTTGGATTTCAGGTACAACAAGGATAGATTATGTAAAAAATAAGAATGATCTTTTTTATCTGAATATGATGTTATATATTTAGATATCTGAAATCACACCCAAATCATAAAAACCTCTTTAAAGACATAATCTTGTTTTTTTTTTTTTTTTTTTCTGGACCCTCAGATCAGATATCATCTCATTTGATGGACAGTCCAGATTGCCAAGATTAAGATGAATCATTCCTGCTCAGAGTAGAAATCTCTAATCCCTGTGTTTTAAAAACCATGCTGTCTTAATTTTACCTCCAACACTTTTTGTTTCTGATATTTTTTACCTTTAAAGGTAAATTATACACAGAAGACACATATTTTAGTTATCGTCCAGATGAAATAAAGCACCGCCGTTCTGCTTGTTTTACACACCTATAAAAATTGGACTTATTATTTTTTCCTTGTCACCAGATGGAAATTACAATTTTCCATTTGTCAACCAAAGCACAGCTAAAACGCCTACTAAAATAAAAAATAAACCATTATCCTTGTTGAAACCCTGTCAGTAGAAACCAACAGATGGACCCACAGTAAAACCCAGGATTTATGGAGCCGATGAGCGACGAGGAAATTATGACTCAATTATGACCTGTTAATGAAGCGGTTGTAATACCTGGTGTTTCTTTTCATTCTCAAGTTTTCAACTTGAAACATCAGACAGATGCTGTTTCACTTAAGCTTTCCTCTTACGGTTGTTCAGTAATTTGTTTCACAACAAATTACAAAAATGCCATTTTTTTGTTAAGTTACAGCTGACCAAAGCGCTGCACAATTCAAACAAGCTAAATAATCACATAGACAGTATAGTTAAAAAGAAAAGACAGAAAATCTAACCAAACAGGCAATTAGAACCATAAACTAAGCCATGATCCAAATGTGATGGAGGAAAACCTAAAGACTCAGTACTGGAACCAGGTTTAAGAGTTAAAGCCAAGGAGAAGAAGTGTGTTTTCAGATGAGATTTAAAAGTGGTGATTGAAGGCGATTGCCTAACCTGGAGGGGCAGAAAGTTCCAGAGTCTTGGTGCACATATAGAGAAGACTCTTTCCTTTTGAAACGTGCCCTGATGGTGAGAAGGGGCTGGTCTAGGGTGGTAGGGGTGGAGCAACACACTCAGACAGGAAGGGACGTGACCATTTAAGGACTTGAAAACCAAAAGAAGAATTTTAAAATGAACCGGTAACCAGGGAAGAGAATAGAGAATCGGTGTAATGTGGTGTCTTCTAGCTCTGGTCTGCTTTCTGAACCAGCTGAGCAGCTTTGCAGGCAAGAGTTGGAATAGTCCAGCCGATAAAGATGTGGACCACGGATTCTAGGTGACATTTACTCAGGAAATGCTTGAGTTTGGAAATCACCTAAGATGGTAAAAACAGGATTTTACTGCGCTATTAACCTGAGTATCCATCTTTAAAGTGACTGTGTGTGTTTTTCCAGGCGATAGGGGGCAGTAGATACCTAAATCGTTGCAAGCAAGCAGTATTTTGTGTTGGAGTAAGACTTTACCAATGGATGCCCATTAGGATCAAAAACCCCTGGGGAGTGTAAAGTTCAGCTGAATGATGAGCATATCAGACTCCCTTTCATCAGTGACAACAAGTGAAGATGTAAATGTGTAAAACAACAACATTTAAGAGTGGCAAAAGTTTTGTAATAACCGTTTGTTACAAATCAATAAATGCATTTTGTCCTCATGGGCTCCCCTAGAAGGAAACATGGCATCTAATATGGTGTCGCCCAGAGACGTAGACCCGCTCCCATGTATTGTAGACCTGATTTTTATGGCTATCTGTTACAAAGCCGCTAATAGTTTTCAACAACTGCGCATCATTTCATTCATTTTCATCATTTTGATGGATGTTTCCAGAAATTAATGTTAAAAACTACACATTGTCTCATTTTTACTCCAAGGTTGGAAACAGTGGAGGAGATGTGAGAGGACAGAGAGGAGGTCAGGTGGCAGAGCTGCTCTAGCATGGTCAGGACTGAAAACGATGATCTCCCTTTCAGAATCATTCAGATGGAGGAAGTTTTAAGCCAGCCACTCTTTAATGTTCCAAAATATTTTCCCTGTGGAAAACAGTTGGTTGAGATTGTAATCTTGTTGAATTTCAACCAAATCTGCACATAAGTGCGGTACCTTCTAGAAATTTGGCCGTTTCATCTCCGAAACAGATTTTGAATCAATTCATTTCACATTAGTTACCGCATTTTTACAAGGAAGAGTTTGAATGTTTAGTTGTAAATGTGTTTCATCATGAGGCCATGCTTCTGTTTTGACCTGATGTTTGCATCAACCAGTTACAAGCTGTTTGTTTTGCGGATGGAAGCTTAAATGGAGGAACCAATGGAATAAACCATCATTGTTTTCAGTAGGTTGTGTTTTTCAACATAAAGTTGAACGTTACGATTCCAGAGCTCCTATTAAACGCTGAAATGAGGACACACTTTGTTTGTGGACAAAGCGCCTCTTAGGTTGGTGCTTAAGATGTATTTTTGGACCCATACTACTAAAAAGCCCAATGAAGAGCTGATGGAGCAGGAAAAATGCCAAATGTTGTTTACCGTTTTTCAGGCATCGGTCGATATTTGTCCTAATTAAAGCCAATTTAAAATCAGGCACATCTTCAGGCAGCCCGATGCTGTTACAGACGGTCACTATTAACATCTGCATACTAAATACTCTAAATTAGCTTTATTTAGGTGTCTGACATTAACACTGAGCTGTGCACAAAGTTAAGATTTAATAGTTAGTTAAATTCAGAGAAAACTGATTCAGCTTCAGAACTTTTGTGCATCAACAGACGTTATCAGTTACATTTTAGCATGAAAATAAAGTGGAAATGTCTAGATATCGGCCATGGAAATCAGCCCAAAAAAATCTAAAATCTATCTTTTACATATCGGTATCAGCAATAGAAAAACCAATATCTGCTGACCTCTAGACTCTAGTATAAACGAATGCCTAGTAAGATGATCTCTGTGGGGAAAAAAAGCTCTGGCACTTCTGTTTCAGGAAGTAGAAATTAGCCAGAGGAGAAGGGAGAAGAACACGGCAGGTTTTGGAGTCTTAACTTCCTGATATTCTGACAATTCTCCTCTGATTGGCTAACAGCAACACAACCCTACCCTGTACCCCGATTGCTTTGCAACGTTTCTGTTTCATCTTCGCAAATAGTACAAGCCTAGAGGAGTTCTGATGTGTTGTGGAGTTGCTAATGCTAACAGTTAGCTTCCATTAGCTGAGATGTGCTCTATACTCTCCTGGAAGCTAAAACAACAACAGCCTTCCCTTTTGCAAGCCAAGATGGGTGAGACCATGAATGATAACTTGAAATTAAGACATGCTATTTTCACTGGTTTATCGAATCTGAGCGTTTCCCGTTTGCTTTCTATCTGCAGCTAATGCGGGAAATAGGGGTAGAAGACTATTTTTATTTTTAGCCTGCATGTGAAACTCAGAGTTCAGAGAGCGAGGACGATGTAATCCATGGCTGCTTTATCCAAAAACACATTATTTGCACAACACACAGAGGAGTTTTCTAAAATTACATGTTTTCTGCTTTTGTTCAATAAAAATTTTGACATAAATATTGTTGAAAATGCAGGTCATGAAATAAAAATCCCATTGCAACACATTGCTCTTCACTGATTTGAAGAAAATGACCATCTAGAATCCACACTGGCTCAATTGTACCAGGAAACACTCATTAAAAATCCTTTTTCCATTTTTCATTAGAAAATTCACACAACGATAGAGGATGAAGGGATGGTGGATGAGATTATTAGTGCACTGAAGCGCACTCATGGCTGGGTGATAAATCAAAACACTGTTAGCTCCAGATGGCTAAAAGATAGACTTCCAGTGGAGATAAGAGGCAATCTTGGCCAGATTTGGCCTACTGACCCTCGACACAGTTGGTGGAAAAGAAACAGATGTTGCGGGTCTCCAGAGGATTCTCGTGCGTCATCTCTGGGGAGCGGGTCTGAGGCTCCGATTCTCCTGTCAGAGAGGAATTGTCCACCTTCACAAGGAGAAGAGAAGAGACAAGTCCAGTGAGAGAAAAGAACAGATTGAGCTACAATTACGCCCATTTCTTTATTACTGGAGAAGTTTATCGCCTTAATCAACATTGTTTCATTATAATGCTGCAAAAAAAGTACATTGTTCAAATACAATATAATAGAGACACCATCAACATGTTTCGTAAATAAGAACTGATGTTTGGTGTCTGAGGAGAAAACGGAAGGTTTTCCATGTAATGACTTCCACCACCTCACCTCTCACTCAATTTTATTAAACTCAAGGAAAAAAGCTCATAATGACCTCTGAAAATTATGTTTGAGCATGAATATCAGGTGGCTTAAAGCAATTTCTAGATGATGAAATAGCATTATGGGATACGGTACTCAAGCAACAGGTCTGGATGTAAAACCAAATATTGATTGCTGGCAGGTTGTAAAAGGAGGAGGGAAAAGGGCTTTCAGGGAATCTTTCCTTTGAGAATAAAAGACGATGGTTTTGTCAGAAACATAAAGAAAAGAGGCTTTTTCTTGTCAAAGATGTGATTTGATTATTTAGGTTTGGAATGGTTGGAGAAGTGAGATTACAGGATTACTGTAATTCCAGATCAAATGACAGATCATCATGAAAAATGTCGGCCTTTAACGCATCACAGTTACATTTTTAGAACTAATTTAGAGAAGTTGAAGTAACAGCAGAAACTAAAGCTACTCAGTGTTAGCGTATTAGCACCGTTAGCCACTAGGAGGTTAAAAACTCCCATAAATCATTGCTCCGTATGCAAGACAATGGCTTTAACCATGGTTTATTGCCATTTGATGACCTTTCATGCAGATCAAGAACTATTTAGCTTTAATGTTGATGATGCTGAGAGATCATAGAAGATTTTCTGGATTTTGATTGGCTAAGTATGCCAATGACTGGCCCAGTGTCTTGCATGTCGCTGGAAGGCCCGATTAGCCAAAGATCAGCTATAAGGGTCATGCACCTGCGATACAGCTACAGGTGTGGTTAGCCTCAACCAAAACGTTCCAAGACCCGACAGGAACACACCTAGAACTCAGAGTTCAAAACGAGAGGATGGTAAATGGCCTGTATTTGATTAGGCACGTTCTAGAGTCCTGCAACCCCCCAAGGCACTTTACAACACAATCAGTCATTCACCCATTCACACACACATTCACACACTGATGGTGATGAGCTACGATGTACACATTCCTCAGATGCACAATCATTTTACCTCATAATAAAGGTTTAAAAACATCATAAGCTTTATTGTCAAAAAGCCTCAACCAAAAACAAACGTTCTCTCTTTTTGTTCTAAATTCAGAAATATCAGACTGACATACGGGGGTTCAGTAATAAAGCTGTTCGCCCTGAGGGACCAGGTGAGTTTAGGTTTAATGCAAAAAGGGAATCTTCTGACTTGATTTTAGAATCACAAGTTACAAGATGATTGTTTCTGACCACAGTTTGAACTATGGATGTCCAAGATTAATGTGGTGTTCTCCGACTCTGTCTTCCAAACTGAAATCTTAAATTTTTGTATGAAATGTTTAGAAAACTGTAAAAAGTAAATTAAACATCTGGCAGCTGTTTGGCTTTACCATTCAGGTTAATTTCATTTTTTTAAATCGAACTTTGCTGTAATCAGTCGGTAAAGTGAAAACAGTTTAACACAAAGTGATACCCTTGCCTCACCTCGGCGTGTAAATGTTCAGCATGCTAACATCCAATTTCATCCCACTGAAACCCTAAAGCCCCCCTACCCCCAGGATGGACCTGCATCACCGCTACTCCACCTTGCAGCCGCTGGAAGAGATCACTCGAAGGTCAGCTGGAATCCGGTCTCCTCCTTTAATCTCCACCAGATCTCCCAGCACCACATGTTCTGCATTGATCTGCATCTTCTCCCCCTCTCGGATCACCATCGCTTGCTGGCGTGAGTGAAGAGGCAGAGAGACAGAAGAACACTGTCAGGAGGGCACAGGGGGCTTTGAACTGAGAGCGGGTTTAGTAAGATGAGGAGAGAGCAGAGATAAACCAATAAAAGAGCAGCCAGAGGGCTAGCAGCACGTTAAAAAAGCAGATATAGAAAAAAGACAGGTAAGGGGAAAAAAAGCATGAGAAGGGAGTAAAAAGAGCCTAAATAGATTAGAGAATTAGGCAATCGAAGTGCTGGAGGTGGATAACGAGAGGGGAGTTTTTATGCAAACACACTCACAATCCAGAGTTGGCTCAAACATTTATTTTCCTTTGTGCAAGCTTATTAGGTTTCCACTCAAGTGAGTGTGTAAGCCCTACTTGAGGGATGGCTTATTGATTCAGAAAGCTCTGCGACTACACCAGCCACCTCATGCATTACCTCACCTGTGGCACCATTTTCTTGAAGGAGTCCATGATTCGAGAGCTCTTGGCTTCTTGGAAGTAGGAGAAACAGCCGGTGATGATCACAACAGCTGCCAGCACGACGCCCAGATACAGCTGAAACAGGAGCAAAGCCGAGCCGCGGCGGGGGCCCGGTGTCATTATCCACTCGGTTTGATTCATGTCAGGCATGTTTAAGCACAGGAAATTCTGATCCACCAACTTCAAACCATAAAAAATGAAATGCAAAGAGCAAGATGAGAGTTAACGATGCTCAGAAGATGCCATAGATGTGATTTCTTGTTGACTATTTATGTCATCTCAGGCGTTTAGTATTAATCCAAGAGAGCATCTGCCTCCCCAGTTCAGAAGCTCTGTTGGGCCACCATGAGACACAGCCTGAGACATTCATTCAGTGTGTTGTTGCTTTATTTTTGGTTCCTATTTTCAGCTACGCAGGCGAAAAGCTTCGATGAGTTCAGCTCTCATGCAAACAAGACAGTCAGTCACTATGGATGAAAGAACGCACCAGCTGGTGCCTTGGACTGCTGGAAAATAAAAGCCCTAATTCTTGAGAAGTTTGCTTTTACGAAGGTTCTGCTTTCATTTGACAGCAACAACAGAATATTTTGCTCTTTTACACTTGAAAGACTTTTTTTTCCCTCTCTCTATCTTTTCTTCTTGCTATAAAAAGTATTCTAAACCAGAAAGTAGATCCGTATCTGCAGAAAAAAAAATCACCTGTCAGTGTTAACAACGTTCTCCACAAATTCAGTGTTCACTTCGCAGCTCTTGGTTTTGTCCCTCACGGTATTTGCAGATGTTTTTTTTTCTGATGTTGCTTAAAAAGAAAGTTGTTCTCCATCACCAGCTGTGCAGAAACAGAGGTGTAACATCTGTCCCAGCAGATGACACATTCAAATCTACACACGTTTCAAATGTTTAAGCATTAAATAGCCCATACCCAAATATCCAAACAATAAGTCCAAAACTGAAGGCAAGGGCTGGAGAAAGCTGGGATCTTATTTTATTCTCACACAGGTGTTATTTGATGCACAAGGAAGCTGTTTTTGTTGGGTAAACATTATTTTTAGACTAGAGAAACTAGCAAGTAGAAATGACTGAATAACAAAAACTAAGTTACACATAAAAAATGCTGATGTCATCAAACCTTTTCTTCATAATATTCAAATGTTTCAGCAATTTTTTGCTTTTTGTTTTGCATCAACAGTCACAAGTAAATTACCAAGTAAATAAAAAAATGAAAATCGTTCAAGAAGGGGTCCTGTTGGCATCCAACCACCATATTATGTCACAATGTTACACTATAGTTTGTTACTTTAGTTACTTTTAGTTGTGTTAATGTCTACATTTGGTTAGGTCACGTTATGTTACGTTAGGTTATGTAATTATGTTATTTTACATTGGGTTGTGCTATGTTACATTATGTTACATTAAGTTATGTTATGTTACACTGAGTAAGGTAACGTTAATTTAAGTTTCACTCCCACATCACCCTGCTCCTCGTCCAGCTTCACTGGCTGCTGGTTAACTTCAGGGTTAACCCTGGTTCTTACATGGACAAGCACCATTATATGTTGGCGATCTTCTCAGTCCCTACACTCCGAGCAGGTCCACGAGGCTAGCTTTAGTGTGGCATTATCCTCTTCTTCCTCACTAGGGTTAACCCTAACCCTAACCCTTTCATGCTGATGTTTATATCAATTCTGTTTTATTCAGTAGGTTCCCATGTTTACTTTTTCATTTTTTTTTTCTTATTCTTGCTGGAGCTTGCGGGAGTGGTTGATTGTAGACCAGGGCTATTCAGTTCAATTAAAGTTTATTTATATAGCGCCAAATCATGACAAGAGTCGTCTCAAGGCACTTCACACAGTAAACCTTCCAATACAGGTCAGTTCATTAAGCCAGTCAGTAAAAAGTTTCCTATATATGGAACCCAGCAGGTTGCATTGAGTCACCGACTAGTGTCAGAGTCTTTACAGCAATCCTCATACTAAGCAAGCATTTAGCGACAGTGGAGAGGAAAACTCCCTTTAAACAGGAGGAAACCTCCAGAGGATCCTGGCTCAGTATAAGCAGCTGTCCTCCACGACACACACACACACACACACACACACACACACACACACACACACACACACACACACACACACCAAGTAGTGTTTCTATGGTTACATTGTGATTTCTTAGTAAATATTCTATTTGGCGAGAGATAAACTTTATTGTATTCATCCTAGTGAATCTATGATTAAACTGGTAAACTAGTAGTAGCACATTCAATGTCAAAGAAAGTAAAACGTTATCATCAGGAGAGAGAGAATGTTTAAATGGTTAACAGCAGTGTTCAAGATAATGGCCCCCTCCATGAGGCCACCACAGCTCAGCAGAACATCATTGTAGCTTCTTCTGGGGAGAAAAACACTTAGAAGTAAAGCACTTTAGAGTCCTTACTCTGAGAGGTGCTATACAAGTGTGGGTCATTTATCATTTAGAGAAATAAAGTTAACAGCTGAAATAGCAGGAAATAATACAGTTAAAGAGCAGATTGTAGAAGAAAGTAGTAGAATGTGAAAAGTGGTCAGTGTATCCTCCAGCAGTCTAAGCCTCTAGCAGCATAACTACAGAGATAACTCTGGATAACCTAGCCTTTTTAGATGGAGGCATGTTGGAGGCAGTGCAAGGGAGAGCCGTCTTTACCGACTGTACACTCCACCTCCCTCTACTCCCCCACTTGTCCGGATCTAGGCTAACATCAGATTTTAACCATAGGCCCTATCAAATAAAAATGTTTTCATTCCAGTCCTTGAGGGCTACCACCCTGCTAATTTTCTGTGTTTCCTGCTCTACCACACCTGAATGGAATAAGTAATTTACCATTTACCATAATCTAATCCTCTGCTTACCATGTTTAACTCTGCACAGGTCCGTTAATTTCAACCAGGTGTGTAGGAGCAAAAAAACAGCTAACATGTGCAGATTGGTTGTCCTCGAGGACCGGCGTTTGTGACCCCTGCTCTAGTCCAACACACTAGATTCAGTGGTCGAATCACCTGTGCAGCAGCTCTGCAGAAGCTTGTTAATCACCTACTGATTGAAATCAGGCCTGTTGTAGTAGAGTTAAAACCTAAATGTGCTGGTGCCCTCAAGGCCCGGAATTGAATAGCCCTGTTTTAGACCATCTGCGATGGACTGGCTCTCTGTCCAGGGTGTACCCCGCCTGATTGCCCATTGACTGCTGGAGATAAGCCCCCCCCCCCCCGAGCGCGACCCTACGTGGACAAAGCGGGTTCAGAAAATGGATGGATGGATGGATGTTTTAGACCATCACCAACCCTGATCTCTTCTGTCACAACTTCCACAACCATCATGGACCATCATGTTATTTTATTAAAATACAATTTATGCTAGCAAATCCTCTTTTTGTCTGTATCCTCACTGCAGCTTGCAAACCATCTCATCTAATGCACAAGGGATTGAATGCTACAGCAGTCACCCTAATTTAGACTGTTTTTGTAACACACTCCACCATTTGCTTTCCTGGTGCAAGTATAAACGTCCCTAGCACATATGCCACAAGAACAAAATCATGAGAATCAGTTTGGGCCTGATTGGTCCACACGTGAGGCTCTGTTTGGGTTGCTTCTCATCTTAAATAACTGCATGTAAAATGTACAAAGAGCCAAAGCTGCTCCAGAAGGAGCTTTGAAGCAGCTCAGCAGAGCATCCAGTGTCACGCAGTCAGGACTGAATGAAGAGATTTAATCGCAGGGAGATTAAATTTATCTGGAGTGAGTGAGCGTGCGTGCGTGCGTGGACCTACTGTACATTATGCAAGGGTTTAATGCTGACTGGAGTACAGATAGAGGTGGATGATGAGTCAGAGCCATAAGGTGCTCAGCAACATTCGCTCAGCGGCTGCTCGGAGTATTTTTCCATTTCCGGGAATGTTGCCAGCATCAGCAGCTTTTACATCACATTTAAAGGGAGGGGTTAAATATTCTGTAATGGTGGAAACTAATGACAGCAAAAATTTTATTTACATTTTACCATTTATTTTTACAAAAAATGTTTATTTTTTTCATATTCTAATTTATGACATCCAGACTGTGTGCAGATCAACTAAGCCTCTAAACTCGGAGTGAATTCAAGATATTTGTTAGAATTGAGTCAAAAACAAAACAAAACGCCTTAAATTCAGAGAAAAGATGTTACAGATCCTATTAATGTTGTTATTTTCTTTTGGGTTGTGGGCTTTATTTATTAATTTTTATTTATTTATTTATTATTTGATTATTTTGATTAATTAACTAACCTTAAAAATGTCCATTAGAATATGTGATGAATGTAAAACAGTAAAATGTAGTCATATAGCATCATTCTCAGGTAAAGTGCTTCACAACAAAATTACATGAACACAAGAGAATAGGAGGAGCTGATTAAACTAAAATAACAGGGTTATTTAAAAGCTGTGTCTTTAAAAGTTTCCTAAAAACAGAAAGAGATAATGGAGCACCACTTCAGAGGCCTGAGCTAAGCACATCAGGTTTCAGCCTCTGGTTCTTAAATGGTCTGAATCTGGTAACGAGTTACGGCCCGTTGAGGATAACATTTGATTTAAGTTCCTTCAGTCTAAAGCCAGTGTCTGGGAGTGTTGGTGGGGCATTCCAAAATGCAAGAAGAAATTCTCATTTTTGTGGAATCGCATTGAATAGGAGCCATCGATCGCAACAGGAGTTTCATTTATACCCAAGTGAAACTCAGAAAATTAGAATATGGTGCAAAAGTTTATTTAATCAGTCAGTAATTGAACTCAAAAGGTGAAGCTAATACATGAGATAGACTCATTACATGCAACACCAGATATTTCACACATTTATTTGTTATAATGTGATGATTAGGACTTACAGCTGATCAAAACCCCAAATTGAAAATCTCAGAATATTGTGAAAAAATTCACGAGTATTCTAGACCACAGGTGTTCAGCCGTGGTCCTGGAGGGCCGTACCCTGCAGGTTTAACTCTGTTTCAACACACCTGATTTCAATCAGCAGGTGATTACCAGGCTTCTGCTGCACAAGTGACTCCTCCACAAAATCAAGTGTGTTGGAGAAGAGAAACAACTAAAACATGCTGCACACTGGCCCTCCAGGACCAGGGTTGAGAACCGCTGCATTAAACGGTGTCTCGGTCTAAGTCAAGTTGCTGAAATAAATGAACTTTTGCACCATTTCCTCATCTTTCAGTGTCACCTGTATGGCTAGGCGGAGGTGCTGCATGGCGACAGGCAAGCTTTATCAGACAAACTGAACCAAGACAGAAATGCAACAGTAGTGAAACAGTGAAAAGCTGTCCTTTCACAAGCCCCACCGCTGTCCACACTCACTTCTTCATGTGTTTACCTTGCTCACCCTTGCACCATCGCCGTGGCTATGTCTCATGGGGCTCATGGTGTTTAGCATAAATTCCAGCCCTCCTGCATATTTTCTTCTCACATTTTAGTCACAATGAGTCTTAATTTCACCTCAGTTTGTTAGCAATTTACCTTTAATATATTTGCACTTAATCACTAACCCTTTCCACAGTCGTCTCTCCATTTTCACACTTCCTCGTGCAGAGAAACACGACTGATTTAGGGAGGAAAGGTGTTGCAGGCAGGAAGGATTCTGAATCAACTCTGGGGTTGGAAGCTCTCCTCCTACGCTCTTGTTTTCTAAGTATTTGGGTAACATGTGTCTGTAGAAGACTGGAAACTCATCAGTCATGGGTGTTGTTGCATTTTCTCACATTGTCGTTGACCGGTTCGTCTTCTGTGGCCGCCTGGATGCTGTAGGCTAGGAAGCAGAGAATGGCACCGATCCACAGCAAGATGGAGAACCCTCCAAACAGCTGACGGCAAAACTTGACCCACTCCGGAGTGGTGGGGGGCGGAGTCAGCGCATTCGGACCGTCCCTGGCCAGAATCTCTGCAGCTCTGGCATTGCTAAGGCCCTGGAGGAGGGAAGCTTTTAGAGAGTATATATCTTTCAGCCTGCGATGGGTTACAGCAGCCCAGTTTCTACCATGGCTTAAAGGCAATTTTAATGCTACAGTTGCAGAACATCAAGTATTCCTTCCTGGCCCATTTAACTCTGGAATAATAAAACTCTTCTCAGATGAAGGGCTTGACTTCACTGAGCAGCTTTTTCTCATGTCATGGTTTAACTTCTAGAAAAAAAACGTCATTTTTAGCCGCTGATTTCAGCAAGTTCGACATTTTTACAGTCTGGGCCGTCGCTTGAGCTCTGGCGCTTCCTTTTTTCATGCTAATCTTGACTAGATTAAATCTGCTTCACTTCACCTGCAACGCCACAGTGCAACGTCCAAATGTGTTTACAGCAAAAAGCCTGTGTGATGTGTCTTTATCGGCCTGTGTGTTTTCAGTAAATGGATTCCTAGTTTTTTTAGGTTTCATCAAAGAAAGCAAGTTTGTTTGTGTGTGTGAGGGATTAGAGATGAAGACGAGTCAAGGTAAGCAGAGCACGCCGCGGTGGGGCTGAGCCCACCAAAGAAATGCTCCGTCTCAGTTTGGATGTTGCCTCCCTGCACAGGTGAGTCAGATTACATCTCCATAAGCGGCATTTCAGCTGGTCTTCGTTGTGTGTCCACATTCAAGGGAAGCTACGTGAATAAAGAAGTGGCGTGTGTCTGCTTTTACCCGCACGAGGTCCACTCCGTAGCGTTTTCCCACATCATCCATGGAGATTTTGTGGTCATCCTGCAAGAAAAAGAATAAATCCTGAAAAGGAAACTGGAAATCTTTGTGTAAGAAGCCTTTTAAGATGTGTCGAGCTGCATCTCACTGGAAAAAATAACTTTTTTCTCTGTTTTCAGCCAGGTCAAGGGTCGTTCTATAAATGATTCATTTCTCCTGACAGAAAAGAGTCTGCTCCCACCGCATCTCATCAGGCCGAATGTGTGCTCTTCGTTTTCGTCAGAAGGGAGACGTGAAGCCTGAAAGTCCTGCTGCTGCATCAGAAGAGTTTATCTGTTGAGTTTTTCTCTATCGATGGCTGATGCCAGGTTATTCAAGCTGTTAAAGGTTTGATTTATCCAGATGTTGAGTCTTTTTGTGAAGGAATATCTGCATGTGAACATTTCCTCTTCTTCCTGAGATGGCTGGAAAAATGTTCAAATCCGCCTCCTCCGGAGCTTCCTTTTGAACAGTTTTTGACATTAGAGGTTTGTCGAGATGAGTTTTGGGGTTTTAAACAGATTCTTCCTTTTCAGGGCTAAAGGGGAGGCTCACAGGTTTCATTGTCTTTCTTTTATATCATTTGCTGTAGTAAACGGCAGGATTTGGACTTTTAGTCATTCCTATTCATGATGTTCAAACTTCTCTCCTCTGATTGGCTAACAGCTGCCTCTGTTTGCTTTTCAACGTTGATGTTTTATCTCCACCAATAACACAAGCCTGAAGGAGTTCTGCTGTGTGGTGGAGTTGCTAATGCTAACGCTTAGCTTCTACTAGCCGAGACGCTAAACCAACAATAGCCTCCCCCGTCGAGAGACAAGATGTGCGAGTTCATGATTAGGTGACAGTGTGACGTATCTGTCGGGCTTTTCTAATCCGTTTATTTTCTGCATGAAAACCTCAGATCGCAATTCAAAAATAAAAATAATTATATGTTTCTCAGTGAACTTGGCCTTTATGCTCAAGTTGCTTTGGATTATTGGGATTTGATCCTAAATGTGTCCAAACCTGAGTAACCGTTAGCTTGATGAGAAATTCTCCTTGGTTCTCTGGCCTGAAATCAAATTCCAACTATTGATTCAAAGCGATGCCAAAGAGCCCACCGACAGGTCGCTTCTTCCTGAGCAGCATCACGTTGATGCACTCTGTGTTTATCTGTTGCTCTTGTGTTTAGAATCAGCCGTCATCTCTCAGGATCGCGTCAGCCTCCCAGGATGGAGAAAAAAGAGAAATCCATTACTTATCCTAACGAACAGCAGCCCCAGCTGGCTGCAAATCAACCGACTGCCCTCGTGCTTGGGGTGGAAAAAAAACAGGCCAGGTTTTGTTTAAACGGCTACGCCGCTGTATTGATCAGCCGTCGTGTGGAGATGATTAAAAGGGTCTGCCTGTAAAGAATGAGAAACAAAGTAAAGCACTAAATGAGGCAGATTGGTGTAAATAAAATGTGACAATGAGAAAGCTCCCTGTGACAGTTCCAGGGCCTTTCTCTGGCTTTAATCGGGTACAAGTCTACTTTATCACACATAATGCGAGCAGCAGAACTTAACCCAGTTTTCGTGGGCATCGCTCGATGGCATCTTGACAGCACCTCAAAGAACTACAGCTCTGCACAAGGCAGGAGCTCGGCACCAGGCTGCTGGTGGCCCACAAATTATTCAGTGTCTTTCAGAGTACAAAGAGGAGCAGCCAGAGGGAGGCTGAGGAGCTAGAGGAGAACCGGCTGGCTTAGAGCTCGTCTGCAGATGACTACGCCCAACAAGTCGGACCGTGCTTTTCTCCTTTATTGCCTTGTTAAATAACCGTGATCAGTCTAACGTTGTTCAGAGAGGACATGGAAACAGCAGCCTTAGCGTGGGCTAAAACCGGAACTATTGGTTCTCCTACCAGGGCCACCTCCTTCTTCAGCTCATCCAAGTCCTTGTCCTTCTTCTTCCTCTTCCCTCCATTCTCACCACCCCACTGTTGGAAAACAAAAACACTTTCAGTCACGTTTTTGTCATTTAAATTCATGGGTGTGCATTACAGGCACAATGCACATATGTGTGCAGTTTTATTTCTATTTCCTGACACTGAATATGGAGATTTGTTTTTGTGTTAAGGTGCAAGTTCCATATTTGTGAGTGTGTGTGTGTGTGTGTGTGTGTGTGTGTGTGTGTGTGTGTGTGTGTGTGTGTGTGTGTGTGTGTGTGTGTGTGTGTGTGTGTGTGTGAGAATGGTGCATCATGGAAATCATCTGCTGCTGTCACTCTCCTCTTAGCAGCACGTGTGCATGTCAGTGAAGGAGGGATACATGGAGAGGAGAGGAGAGTGTGTGTGAGTGACACAGTGAAAAAACTAATCAAAAAGGAGCCAAAGAGGGAGCACGGAGTCGGTGGAGAGCCTGAAATGTGTCTGGCATAGCAATTTCCCCCCACTGTGCAAGAGGAAGATTACCAGGCTGTCCTCCCATAAAGCTAAATTGAATGGGTCTGATGGAGAGAACACAAAGAAAATAACAAAATAATGCTGATAAACAGCAAACCCAGAACTTGTCGAGGAGGAGAGCCATCATCCTGAGATGGGATTGTCCAAAGGGATGAGTTCTGATGCCCACAGACTTCAGGCCCGCCACACTTCTGCGTTATTCTCCTCCGTTCAGCTCAGAAACAGGAAGTCAGACAAATAAGAGTAATTCCATTTAGGAAAACGGATGAGGACTTACCCCTCTGCCCATGTTGGACGTCCAGACGCCTGCAGGTTAAATGGGAAGGACAGAACTCGGGAGTTGGACCTCCTGCCAGCATGTGCAGGAACACACTGGTGGCTTTTTTTGGGCCTGCTACCTCCAAGCCAAATATCCCATTCCCTCCCTTCCTCCTGTCAGGGTAACCTGAGCTAAACACCCCAACCCTTCACCCCTCCCTGTCCACGGGTGTCTCTTGAAAACACACACACACACACACACACACACACACACACACACACACGCACAGACGGAGTAACAGCAGCTCATCAATCACAGCTGTCAGCGCAACAAATGAAACCTTGCTCTCTGCATCACATACAGTATTTACAATAAACATGATAATGAGGGATCGATGTGAGGCCCCCGGGTTGATAATGAGAATGCAGCCGAGTGTTCAGCTGTTTGGGTTCTGACAGAGTCTTCACGCAGGCCGTCCAAACACAAGATGAGCTGATGGCGCTTCTCCAGCTCCAATAAGGCAGGATGTGACCAGTGTGCTCTTCCCACAGATGCAGCCAACGATCCTGCATCAAATAAGCTCCAAACGTCTTCTAACTGGTTGCCAATTACTTTTAGGTTGATTTTACGCTCGGGTTCTCGCTACACCATGATGTGAGTAATCCTATTAGAGCTGCACACGTTCTTACAGCTCCTCTTCAGATGTTCTTTTGGCGTTTTCTCAAGTAAACATTTTGGAGTTCAACCAAGACGGTGTGCAGAGTTCAACAGTCAACTAACTTAAGAAAGTAAAGATTCTAATTAAACTACTTTTCAATGTTTACGTTGTTTTTAATTCTGCAAAAGTTGCAGTTCAAGCTAGAAATAAATCAAAAATCATGTTAAAAAGTGTTTTATCACAAAAATTGACACATCTGAACTGAAGACTTTAGTCCACCTGGAAAAAACTGGAAATGACAATAAAGCCTGATATTTTGAGTTAGATTCAGGATTTTACATCGTTTTACAAACACTCTCTACACATGTTGATCATGAAAATACCGTCTATTAGATTTACAACAAGACAGCATCTTTATGTCAGATGTTTAAAGGGCTTTTGCTGCCAAGCTGAAGACATCCAATAGTTATAACTCTTGTAAAATCCACACTAAAAAAACCTCTGCTGCTAGAGTCAAGAACCCAGAGAACCGAGCACATCACTCCTGTTCCTAAATGTCTACACTGGTTACCAGTAAACTACAGATTCATTTTCAAAGTGCTACTACTAGTTTATAAACCACTCAATGGCACAGGGCCAGAATACATGTCAGATCTCCTTCCTGTATAAACACCCAGCAGGGCTCTGAGATCCTTAGGAAACAGTCAGCTAGCAGAACCCCAGGTCAGAAACAGGATGAAATTGCTTTTAGCTACCATGCTGCACACAGATGGAATCAGCTTCCTTATAATCTCAAATGTGCCCCAACTCAATTAACTTTTAAATCCAAATGAAAAACTTTCATGTATTCATGAGCCTTTGATCGTTTATGCTGCACTGTAACTGCTCACTCTTTAACTTTGCCTTTTATTTTGTTCTTACATCTAATTTTATTTGTGTATTTTAAAATTTGCTTTTAAAGGAATATTTAGCAACTTTTTCATATTTTAAAATCATTTTCTTGAGCCGGTATGTGCTAAAACGACCCTTTACAGGGTTGATGAAAGGCCACCCAGCCCATATCGCCCCCGTGACCAGAATATTCCACCTGCAACTCTAGACTGGCAGTCCACTCTGTTGGAGCTGACATACCTGGTGCTGCAGTCTAGCTCCATCATGTTTCCTGCATGTATTAGATCATGAACACAGCTGATTTGTTTAATTTAGCGATGAATCACTGTTGTGGACACTAATGAAGTCTGGGGAGACATCTCAGCTGTTAGATAAGTTTCTGTTTTGGTTCTACAAACGGACACTTGGGGGTGCTAAACGCAACTCAAAACTGCCTAGTTCCCCTTTTAAATCTGCTGTTTCATGTTGTCATGTTTATTTTAATGTTTTGTGTTCTTGCTCCTGTAAAGCACATTGAATTGCTTTGGTGTATGAAATGTGCTTTACAAATAAAGCTGCCTGATCAAGGAAAAATCTTCTTTGTCTGCATTTTTTCTTTCATTCAGAGGAAATAAATAGAATTTATTTATAAAAAAAAGAACAATGAATGAAATATTCTTAACTTTTCATTCATAGATTTATTTATTTATTTTTGTCTTCACCACATTTCTAGATGCCTGAATGCTGCCGTGTGATTGGCTGATCAGCTGACTGAGCCAATCACCTAATGAATTGGTGTATCTGAAGTGGCTGGTGAGTGTTGTAACGTACCAAAGGTCAAATTTTCATCAACATGAACAGAAAGTCACTCTCAATTTGCAGCCACAAACCGCGTCTCACATCCAGGGATGCAGTACAGCTGGCTGGCCTCCAAACCAGAGAGCTCTGCACCACAGACATAACATCTTCAGCCAAGGTCTCATGCAAAAGTGAGACTTCTGCGCTTTTCACTCTGAATATAGTTCACCTTCCTTAAAGCTCCTAGGTGACTTTACAACTTATAGGTTGAAATAATCAAATGTCAAACATCCTGCAATGACCCATTTTAGATCTCAACTACACCAGATCAGTATGTGTTGATTTAACAAGTTAATGTACCAATAGGCCTACACTCATACACATTATTATTATTATTATTATTATTATTATTATTATTATTGTTTAACATCCACTTCACATAAATGTTTAAACATTCTCATTGACACAAAGAGTTAACCTCTCTGAGTATCTGACTGAAGGAGTGATTATCTGAGGTATTTTTTGGTAATGCTCTCAAACGTGTCAAATTCTGACTTGCCAAATTTATAAATAAGGCAGCTGATAAAATGGAATTGTTTCCAGAACTAATTCAGTTTCTAGTTGACTCCTGGTCCAGCCAAATCAGTGAACAAGCATTTTGAAACCATCCTCTCTTTTGACATCGGCTCAAAGCCTCTCTGCAACACTTGCGAGGTAATACAGACACAACGGCTCTTTAACCCTCCCACTGTCCTAATGGGTGTGACCCCCACGAGGAAAGCTGACCACTGAGCAGGGTTGGTGGTTAATTCCTTGGGTCCATGTAGCAGGGGTGAGGAGAGAGCACCTCCTCACCCCCGCTACGTGGACCTCAAGGGATAAACCATCAATCCTGCTCAATGGTCAACTTTCCTCCCGGAGTCCCCTATTAGAACAGTGGGAGGGTTGTGAGCCACCTTAGATGCAAAACAAGCATTCCAGCGTCCTATATTTATGTTTATGTTTATTTATTTAGCAGACGCTTTTATCCAAAGCGACTTACAATTTATAACCTATAGGGCATGTTGTGCTCTGTGGGGGAAACCGGAGTACCCGGAAGAAACCCATGCATGCATAGGGAGAACACGCAACTCCATGCAGAAAGGCTGCAGCCGAGTTTCGAACCTGCAACCTTCGTGCTGCGAGGCAACAGTGCTAACCACTGCGCCACTGTGCAGCCCATGCAGCGTCCTGTCGTCACCTGGAGATATCTCATGACTAGACGGGTCGTATCGGAGCAAATCTATGGGTTCCTGGTACCTAGAGGTCCACACCATCAGCAGTGTCCATCCTGACCTCTTGACCCCCTGGATCGCCCGAGGATCTCCACACAAGGGTGCGTAGACTCGACACAACTTGCATCGGATGGTTTTATAAACAAATCTCTAGTTTACAAAACATACAGCCACATTTATTTTACAACCAAGACTCCACAAACTCTCTCAGATACTTAAGAAAGGTTTTGCTAAAACATCTACCTTCCATCCATTCCATTCCATCATTTCATTCATACCTTGTCTTGTATAATCAGTAGTTTAAGGAAACAGAACAAAATTCATTTTTATAAACTAAACTTGACTCTGTTTGAATTAATATGAAGTGTGTACCTGTTCCCTGATAAGTAAAAAAAAACTAAAATCTTCTGATTAAATATTCAAAGATCAGTCAAACTGATATTTCATATTTAAATGGAATTATCACATCTTGTTGATCATTGGGTACATATGTAGCCACTCCTGCATGCTACAGTGTAAAAGTTGCATTTGCATCCTTAAATGTGTAGTTTTTACCATTAATTTCTGGAAGTGTCCATTAAAATGTTGTTGAAAATGAATTAAATGATGCCCAGTTGTTGAAAAATATTGGCAGCTTCTTAACATATCACCATAAAAATCAGGTCTAAAATGCATGGTAGTGGGTCTAAGGGTGTTTCTCAATGTCAAGGCGCCTGGCCTTGCGAGGTGATGTCTTGCGAGGCCAGGCGCCTTGCTTACGAGGACATTGTCCGTCCTTGGTCAAAGAAAACTGTTAAATGGAACAGACTTGCATCATGTGACCGCGGCTTCCACAGTCACGTAACGTAACATTATATTTTATTCACATTAGTTTTAATATCAATATATAATGAGCCTTTTACTTTTTAAATTGTGTATATGTTTATTAAATTGAATATATAAGTGAGTTATTACATGCTAGCCACCGAAGCTGCAACTACTAAGCAACTAACCAACAAAAGATAAATTCTTTGGATCTAAACAAACATTTTAAATTAGTTGACTTACTTTTAAACTTGAAAATTGTCCCCAAAGTAGCTGCCAGCTTCTGATCCGCCATCCTTTTGAAAATACTGCGGTGTATTCTGGGTAATTTTTGACTAAGGACAGGCTACAAGACACCTCCCATGTATCCCGAGAGCAGCAAGATGGCGTGTTGAACAGAAAGAGGGGTTCGCTTCACAGAGATGATGCCACTGGAGGATAGAGAGGCAAGGAAGAAGCTATGGCCGCAGACTGAACAAGCTCGTTGCGAAGGAAAGCATCCCTACTACCGTGGACCACATGGATTCATAGAAGGTTGGAAAATTGGCTAACTCCAAAAGGTTCTACTTTAAAAATGCACTTTTCGAGTAAATTAAGGTACCAGGGAATACTGTTGCTTGCTGGTTAATTAAGAAGAAAAGTTAGTTTTATATTCTAAGCACTCAAGTTGAATTGTTAATTTAGTTTTATTGTTTAGTGTTCTGAATGTTCAGTTGCACTATTTTTTGGGCATCTTTAAATGTGAGGGGACTTAAGGACTCAGTAAAGAGGAAATCCTTGTTTTTGTTTTGCAAAGGGCAGAAAGCTAATTGTTTTTTTCTACACGAGACTCATTCTTCCAATGCAGATGTAAACTTCTGACCTAATATGTGGGGTGATCGAATTTTATTTAGCCATGGAAGCAACAAATCTGCTGGTGTAGCTATATGTTTTCATAGATTTCCAGGTGAGGTAATTACACATGAATCTGATAAAGAAGGCCACTGGATAATTGCAGTTTTAAAGACTGAAAGCCATTTTTTATTTTAGTGAATGTATATGGCCACAGATCTGTTGTGCATAACAGGCAAATGTTCAATATTATTACTTTAGAAATAGATTAGCTTAGAGCTTTCCATCACACTGATTATATTATATTTGGAGGCGACTGGAATATGGTGCCAGATGAATGGTTAGATAGATGGCCTTCTAAATTTGACAATCATTTTAATTCTAGTATTGAAGATTTTATCACAGATAATAACCTGATTGATATCTGGAGAACTCAGAACCCAGGGGAAAAACAATATACCTGGCACAAACCAAATAATTCAGCTAAATCTAGGTTTGATTACTGGCTTATTGCTGATTTGCTAGAGACTTTTTCATCAGATGTATCAATTTCCAAGGCTCCTTTAACTGATCACTGAATGATTCAGCTAACTTTTAATTCAAATCCCACTTTTAAAAACAAAGCTTATTGGAAATTCAACTCTGACCTACTAAAACATAACGAATACTGCTGCAAAATAAGAGAAATAATATCTAGTATTGAAAAGGATACTGGCATAAATAGTTTTTGTAATAAATGGGAATTCACTAAATTCAAAATAAGAGAATTTTCTTTTCAAAACAGAAAAAATCTAATTAAGAAAAATAGGGAAGAAGAAGGTAACTTGTTTAAGGAATCAATGAGTACTGCGGCAAACCTGCTTTATCCAATCATGAAAAAGAAAAATTATTGCTTTTACAATCCAAAATTGATGGTATCTATTTAAAGACAGCACAGGGTTCCTTTATAAGGTCAGGAGCAAAGTGGATGGAGGATGGAGAAAAAAATTCTGCATATTTCAGGTTGAAGAAAAAAAAAAGACAAGAAAGCAAAGCTATAACAAGTCTGCTAATTAATGGTAAAGAATGCAGGGATAATAAAGTGATTGAGAAAGAAGTTCACTCGTTCTGTAACACTTTATATTCCTCGGCATACTCTCAAACTGATTCAACAAACTATTTAAGCCAAATTACCAATTTTAAAGCTTGTATTAATGAATCTTTCAAAACAATGTGTGATGCAGAATTAATAATAGAAGAATTAAATGCGGTCCTTTTGAAACTTCCTCTGAATAAATCCCCTAGCTTGGATGGGCTCACTGCAAATTTTTATCGCTTCTTTTGGAAAGACATCAGAATCTTATTGTTTAAAGCTATTCAAGAATGCATTTGTAAACAGGAATTAATGCCTAGTATGAAACAACGTGTAATAACGCTAATTCCCAAACACAATAAAGATAAAAAACTTCTAGACAACTTAAGACCGATTACCCTTCTCAATACTGACTATAAATTACTTTCAGGTTGTATAGAAACTAGACTCAAACATGGTATAAATCAACTTATTGATGTAACTCAATATGGTTTTTAAGGGGTAGATCTATTCACAACAACATTCGTCTGGTTTTGGATCTGATGTATTATTGGCATATATTGCTTGAAGGACGATTCATTCTCTTCCTTGACTTCTTCAAGGCGTTTGATTCAGTAGAGCATCCCTTCATAGCGAGTACTTTAAATTATTTTGGTTTTGGTCAGAAATTTAATGTTCCTTTGATGCATGAATTATGAAATCTTTAACCATGATTTTTTTAAACATTTTTTTTCATTCATCTTTAGGTGTGAATGAAACAAATTTCATATTTACATATTTTTTGTAACATTTAATTTACACATAGTTTATTACATGTCCACCTCAGTGGACAGCGTGCATTCTGAACATGAAATATGTTGGCTTGACTTACTGAAGTCGAAATGGAGGGGCTCAAATGCAATAAAGTCTTCAACAGCTGTGCTTAATAGCAAAAATAAATAAATAACAATTTTGAGTACCTGTCCACTGTAGTGACCATTATGCATCAAAAGGTTAAGTTAGTTGATATGCTACATAAGGATATAACAGTTGTGTGTCTTTGGAACATGGTACCTGCCCTAGATTCCCTGTTTGCAGAGGCATTAGACAAGGTTGCAATCGCTCCCCTCTTCTACTTATTTTAGTAGCTGAATTATTAGCAATTAGGATTAAAAACAGTGATATTGAAGGTTTAAATATTATGCATAAAAGCTAGTAATAAGTCAGTTTGCCGATGACACGTATTTATTCTTGCAGAATGAAAGACAAATTCCAAAAGTTGTATATTATTTAGAAACATTTGCCAAAGCATCTGGTCTTAAAATAAATTTGAACAGTGTGAATTATTTGCTCTCCATGATCAAACACCTCCCTCTATATGTAATATTAGGGTAAAAAGTCAGGTGAAATATTTGGGCTTAGTGATAACAAAGAATAAAGAAAAAAGAGAAAAAGAAAATGTTTGCAAGAATGCGGAAAAATGTAAAAAATATATTGAATTCCTGGCTTGAGAGAGATGTTAGTCTTTGGGAGGGTGCTACTTTCTAAAATGGAAAGTTTATGAGATCTATTTATCCTGCCTTTTCTCTTAATATCTCTGATAAAATGGTCAATCTAATTAATAGTTTAAATTTCAAATCATATTGGAAAAACAAAGGCCAATATATTAGAAGAGCTGATATGGTTAAGAGTGCTGAAGAAGGTGGATCAAATGCCATTGACTTCTCTGCTATGAATGGTGCTTTAAAACTTAAATGGCTAAGCTCTTTTATACTTCATAAATACTCTTTTTGGATTACAATTCCAAATGCAATTTTTCACAAACTATTATTGAAATACTATTACACTGTGATTATATTTCCAAATTGCCCGTGACACTTTGTATCACCAGCAAGTTCTTCGTTGTTGGAAGCTAATATATCACCACAACTTTACTCCCTAAAATTCTCCTCTGTGGGATAATAGATATGTTTTGTCCCATAGAAAGTCCTTATTCTTAGAAACTTGTTTTAATAAAGGAATTTGGTCGGTTTACAACTTTGAGATGAGGAAGGGAACTTTTTAACTCACGAAAGCTCTGTCGTAAGTTTAACTTACAATGTTCAAACAAACAATACGATGCAGTTTTAAAAGCCATCCCTGCCCCCTTCCAAGCCCTGATGCGACAGTTGGCGCTTCATTCTAGTGTATTCCAAATAAGACCTCTTAGTGTAGAAGGTATCAGTTTGGGGATCAAGCCTTTCCTTCTACGGGAGCCCTCGAGGACAAAATGCATGACTGATTTGTAACAAACGGTTACACTATTTCACTATTCATAAAATTTATGGTTTTACACATTTACCTCTTCAGTCATTGCCAGTGATGAAAGACAGTCCGATGTGCTCGTTATTTTGCTGAAGTTTGTGCTCCCCAGGGCTTTTTGACCCTAATGGGCATCTGTTGGTAGGTCTTACTCTAACACAAAAATACAGCTTGCTTGCAACAACTTAGGCATCTACTACCCCCTATTGCCAGGAAAAATACACACAGCCACTTTAAAGAACAATTGCTTCAAACTTTATAGTAGCAGAAAAACTTAAATATGCAAAAAATACATTTGGTTTCAAATGGATTAATATTCAAGTTGTTTTAGAAAAAAATTAATAAAAACGGTTTTGACTTTAATCTGCATCTACAGAGTAAAAAATAACTCATTTCAATTTTACTGCATGGGATGTGGATGTTTTCAGATTGTTGAAAAAAGAACAAACATCATAGAGCAGCTTTGAGCTGCATGCGTGCGTCCAGCCGGGCAGGTGTGTGCAGCCGTTAAACTCACTCAACCTCACCTGCTCGTCGGGCCAAAGGAAAATTATAAAAAATTTTATCTCATTTTGTTTCTGTGCAAAAAGTGAAAAGGTTACAAATTGCTGCCATGCTTGTTTTTACAGTTCTACGTAATTTAGCAGCTATCCCCCCCCCCCCCCCCCCCCCCCCCCCCCCCCCCAATAACAGACTAAAGCAAATGTGTTGAATCTCGACTTTTATGAAAAATCCCAGAGAAAATGAAAACAGGAGACACTTTGATTTGGCTTTACCATTCAGCAACTGCTTTTCAGGGATTTATTTAAGTTCTCTTTACAACAAAGTCCAAAAATGGTGGTTAGTGATTTTTTTAAACAATCATTAAAAACAAACATAAAAAAGGTAAGAAGCTCCAGTCGTTTGAAATGAAAGAACGTTAATGTGCAACTATAGCTAACAGAGGTTACGTCAGTCGTCTGTGTGGCTTCGCTGAAAAACAAGAAAACATTCTAACCGGTCCGTTCGACTGGCTAGTAAAACAGCCACCGGCCAAACCAATGTCCGGTTATGAAGTTGTGAATCTGAGCACCTGCCTCCCTGTTATGACTGTAAAGGAACATTCATGTTGACGCTATCCACCTCGCATATCAAGCTCGCAGATTACGATCCATCCCTGGCTCTGGGTTGGGAAGGAGCACCTTTAAAAGAAAGCTCTGGGGGAGAGCAGACTATCTGTAGCGATACATACAGATTTTTGGCAGAGCTTAACACAACAGATAAAGCTCCTTTCCTCCGTGTGTGTGTGTGTGTGTGTGTGTGTGTGTGTGTGTGTGTGTGTGTGTGTGTGTGTGTTTTCCCTCCCCAGCCGCAGAGCGATGAATCCAAAGGCAACCCAAAGCTTCCTCTACTTCCTCCTATTCTCTGCACTACAACCTCAATTTTCCTCCATCTCAGAATGAAACGTACCCAAGAGACAGCCACACAGCACCCTTCATAACACAAGGTCAGATACGTAATAGCATATTCCATCCAATACGATTACATTTCCTCCCTGCCTTGGTGAACATGTTCTCTGTATGTTTACATGCACACATGGAGAAAAAAAACATTATTTGCTTTACTTAGCGTGACATACGGATGCATTTTACTTTGTGACAACAACACTCTTTAACTTGAAACATGTACACAACACACACGTCGGATTTTTGACCAGAGGAGTGCTAGCCAAGGGTCTTCTTTCCTCTGCCAATAGGGGGCAGCAAAGAGTGTTTTGGTGTTCATACCAGCAGAAACCAAGAGGTCCAGAGGAGGGAAGTGGGCCGGCAACGGGATGTGCCTCGAGGGTGTTTGAAAGGCAAGTAGGAGGGCATTTGTCCATCACTGGCAACGATGGTGGGAGGCAAGGGGGGAGTCTGCTGTAGGAGTTTGAAAAAGTGAGCAGTGAGGAGGAGGAGGAAGGACAGGACAGGGAGAGGCATTGAGCTGTAGGCCTGCCAGTCAGATAAGGAGAGGCTTAAAGAGTAGATTGGATTGTGTGTAGACCTTTTCTGCAGGGGAATAATGCAGTGCAGACTAGACAGCAAGAAGAGGAAGAGATAAACGAAGCCAAAGACATAAGGACAGAGAGATGGAAACGGAGGGCTTCAAGTGAGAAGATGATTCCCAAGATGGAGGAGTGGGAAGGAAGAGATGAAGAGGAGTGAAGAGATCCGAGGAGGCAGGGCAATGGGAGCAGAGACGTTTTGTTACATGCACATCTAAATGAAGTAGCTCTGGTTCGGAGTAAGGCCGCGTACACACGTAGCCGGGTGTCGGACAAAAACCAAGATAGTATTCCACGGTTTAGCCAAGTCTTTCAAAACGCCTTCGACTAAGATGGGGATGTATTTCTCTAACAGTTGCCTTTGGATGTAAATAACCAGGTTTTAGGTCTCACAATGTCACTGCTCTAACAAATATGCTCCGACATCACCTGTGTGACCTGTGTTTACACTAGCTTGATTTTACGAGCTCAGTTACTGCTCTGAGTAGAAGACGCCACCACCAAGGTATTCCGGGGAATGCTCTTCAGCAAAGACACCCATGATTTGGAGAACTACTGCCACCTACAGGCTTGGCGTGCCTATGAATGTGCTTTTTAGCTGAAAACAAGGTGATGTGGACACCCGTCTGTTCCCAGGTGAGCGAGCGAGGACATTTGGTTGTACGAAAACCCGGCTACGTGTGTACACGGAGTGGACCTAAAATTCCACAAGCTGCACCTCTAACTGGTAAGCCCTCTTCATCAGAGAGCGTCCGCAACCTTCGGAAGCTGTGACATCATTCCGGGTCGTCAGTCACCGGCCATCAGTCCCGACAGCAGACTTACTCTCCAGCACAGACAGCAGAGAAAGCACCCCTCCTCTCCTGTCGGCTGAAAAATGTGCAGCTGTTCCAGCGAGTCTGTGCGCTCTTATAGGGCCAGAAATAGCCCCCCTGTAGTCGTGCAGGGACACACAGCGACAACCTCCATTAGCTCAAATGTGAGAGGATTGAATCACCTCCGAGCTCCGGGGCTTGAACTCCTATCTGCGCCGGCTGAGAGGAGCAGGAATCATATTTCCCTCTCAGCATCACTCGCTGTTTTCCTCCATCCGAAGTCCAGTGTGCACTCACAGTTCAGCTCGGTGCATGTGATAGAGTCGTAAACATTTGGGGGGGGGGGGTTTAGGGGACGCTAAACACACAGGGACATCTTACGTGGTCCTCTTAAGGAAGTTATGTGCATTGTTAGGCATTAAACGCTTTTACAGTTTCCCCAGTGATGGCGTAAGCCGTCTCCAATGAGGCGTCCTAAAAATTACTTGACACTGTTGCCGGTGATATAGGAGGCCTATTCCTACAGCCAGGCCCGTCGTGAGAGGGTGGAGATAATGGGAAATAATGGGGGTTGCATCAGGCTGGGCAGAAAGAGAGGGAGCAGACTAGAGGAGGAGTGGAGGCAGTCATAGAGAAGTCAGACCTTTATCTACAGGAGGAAGAAGAGGGGAGGGGGTGAGAGGAGGAAGAGAAACAGGACAGAGCAGTTAGCATATAAATCACTTCTGTAATTTGAATTAACAAGAAAGTCTGGAAATTCACGCTGAAAAAAGAGCGAAATGGGAAAAGACAGGAGGAAAACATAGAGCAGCGTGAGGAGGTGAAGCTGGAGTTTGACACATTGCCTCTGAAAGGGGAAAAAAAAGCAAATTGGCTTGTCCCCACAGCCGGGGAGTGGTGATGCGTATCGGACACACTCGGAGGAAGCTTTTTTCTGCGGATAGGATCACAAAGAAAGGAACCAGAGAGGGAAACCCAGGCAGCAGCCTCTTTTAGATTCTGTTATCAAACCCAGCTGTCTGAGGGTCTCGCTTCAAATGGCATATCTTATGACCTCACAGGAGTGGGGGTGCAGCGGGCCGGTGAGAGAGACTATAATCTCAGATCTGGGCCGGCGTACAATAGCGGTGTCTTCGTTCTGGGACAAGAGCAGATAGGGTGGGATATAATTATTCAGGGACTCGGGTTTAACTCGCAGGCTGTCTTGTTGGTTTACTCCCCCACCTCCCTCCCTCCCCCCGGTGGTGGTCTGTTATTTGAAGCTGAGCTGATTGGCGAGGCGGGAGAGGAGACCAGGCGCCTTAGACCTCCCCATCCCTCCCTCACCTCTGAGCACCTCCTCCCCGTTTCTGCGGGTCAGCTCCAGCTCGATGGTCATGAGTACCCGGTCTTTGCCCTCCTCCCCACCTCCCTCCACCCCTTCAGTCTTTTTGATGATGGTTTGCTGCTGCTTGTCCTGATGGCGCTGTTCGGGTCGGGCCGTCGCTGCCAGTACCTGGCGCACAGGCTGGAGCAGGCGGCCGGCGAGCCCGCCCCAGCCCCTCTCCGTATCCTATTTCTTATCCTTGCGCGACTCCTGCTTCTTCTTTTCCGAGGCTGCGGCCTTAACCTTGGAGGGGTCAGCGGCAGGCGCGGGGCCCTGTGGGCGGAGGAGGGAGAGGGGGTCGGGGGAGAACAGGGGAGGAGAGTCACTTCAGGAGGAAAGGAGTGTGAGGCAGAAGGAGGGAGGACATGTTAGAGGTGAGAAGATGAGAGATGGAGTTACAGCTGGACAGGCGGAGCTGTGTGAAGAGTAGAGAAAATCACATTTAGATGGAAGAGGAGGAGGAGGAGGAAGGAGTCAGACATGCAAAGACAGATGAGGAGCTGGAGCACGGCCCTTTTAGGGGAGGGGGTAGCAAGTGAGAGGGGGCGGAGTCCAGAGCTGTAAGGGGGTGACAAAACAGGTAACCATGCGTTAGGATGGGACAGTGGCAGGCACTCTCCATACACCTGAGTGACAACTAATCAATAACACACACACACACACACACACACACACACACACTTGCTCGTGCGTGCACACACACACACACACACACACACACACACACACACACACACACACACACACACACACACACACACACACATTTTTTAAAGCCAATCAACCAATGTCAGCCCTTACTCGCAAAAAAATATGGAAGAGTGTCCAAAAAGAGTCTGAATACTTTTACCTTTGTGTTTGTAGCAGCAGGAAGTTGTTTCTAACCAATCAACATCTCGGTTTTAACAAGAGCCTCCAGAGAAAACAGGCTCCTCTAGGAGGAAACGTCCTCATTCCCACCCCTAGTCTGATTTACCGCCCCTCTCTCGTTAATCTGATTGGCCGAACGGAGCCGGAGATGAAAGCTGACAGACAGCCGCTCCAGCCAATCATCTGCCGTGTATGTTCTCAAAGCGTTTGCACTTTTCCAAACGTTTTCCCCAGATGGTTCAGTGTTGCAAAACCATCTGCCTGCTGTGATTGAAGGAGAAAGTCTCCGGCGTGCAGGAGCGTGTTTGCAATCGTCTGACGTTTGGGTGCATTTGTTGTTCTGCTGTTTACACGTCGTCTCTGGGAATATTCAGTGTGTGACTGGGTTTGAAATTCAATGAGCGAAAGCAGTGTCTAAACTGTCAACACAGTAGCCGCGCCTAGTGGGATTATGCAGCATTTATCCAGGGAATAATTAGTTTAGAAGTTTAATTTATATCTCGGAACCTCAAATAATTATTATTTATACAATTCCTGCATTTATTTCAGAGCAAAATGTTTAATTCCTGCAGATGAATGAATATTTTGTGTCTGAGAAGCTCAGAGCAAAACAAAAACTTCTTACTTCGTATTTTTCATCATGAAACTTAGTTTTTGGGTTTTATCCAGATCATAATTCAGAGGCTTTGTTTATGAAACTTAAGATAACCTGAATATTCATATTTATCTTCTCATTTACTAAAGTTAGACACATTTACCAACAGATAATTGGATTTTTGCAGCATCCTGGTGTTGTGTTGCATATTTTAGCAGATTACTCGGGTCTCAGACGCCTGGATGAGGATTTATTCTGCTTCAGAGAAAACTGGAAACAACACAAGGAGTGTTCCGATACAAGACCGGGTTGTATGCAAATGCTGAACACTATATCTGGAACATGATCAAAACTCCAACCCCAGATCCTAACGTGCACGAATATCCGCTTACATTTAATTTAAAGTTGGAGGAAATGTGCACTACGCACAGATTGGAATAAATTTATCATGACTTTAGTTGCACCTCTGAGAATGTCTCACCTAGCTTCGCATCGATTCTCTGCCCTCTCCACAAGGAACAATATTACCTTTAAATATTTATTTCGCTCATGCCGTGCCACCATTCACTCCCACTCATTCTGTAAATTGTCTGTGCAATATACAAGAGGTGTCAAGACTCATCTGCTGGAAAAAAAATCTATAAAAGGAAGAGCCAGAAGGTAGAAAACTCGAGCTCCGCGTCGCTTGAGCACAACAAATCCATCAGGAAGGACTGAACTAAGAGGAGATAAGGTCAAGGCTACACTTAACCTTACAATAGCTGAATTCCAGTGCATTAACCTGTGAGCTCACCTATTGAAAAGTATCACAAGTGCAGGATAATGCTCTAATAGAGCTTAATGAAACGTCATGTAATGGTTTTACAATGCTCTGCTTTTTTTTTTTTTTGTTACCCTTTTTTCTGCAAGATGAAGAGCTCCGTGGTGGAGCTGCAGACAGAGTGAAGAGAAAAGGATCTAAGGCTGGGAGACGGAAATAATTTGGCTCTAATACATCAGCTTAGTCAACAGTGGAAAGCCCACTTGAGGCTCCTTCCACCCACTGAAGCTTCTACTAATAATACCCCACTGATTGCATTACAAAATTTATCATTTTTAATTATCCGCCCTGCAAAGGCAGCACACGATTGAGACACAAGCTGCAGCCATCCACCCGGCGCAGCGGGGAGCAGCGCAGGCCATCCAGTGCCATCATCTTCGATTATACTTACATTCTCTCATACATCATCGCATTGTTTACCATTAGGCATCCCGCAACGGGCTCGGCTGTTTGTGCTGCAGCATTTCTCAGAGCTCCCACGCTAACAACCGGCCTGCTCTGTAAACACGAACCCCAGCAGCCGCTCTAGCAGGAGCCGCCTTCGTTACAGGGGCTGCACATGCTTCAAAGGGTACAGGGGGGGGGGGGGGGGGGTACTGTCGGGAGAGGTAAGTGTCTGCATCCCCTGCTGCATACTGAGGAGAGAGGGTGACAAGTGAGGTGGGGAGATTGAGAGGTAGATGAGGAGCGTGAGGTAGTGATTTTCTGTCCAGAACCAAAGCTGATCAGAACACCGAAGACCTGAGGAGGGAGGAGGATGTGGAGGGAGGAGAGGGGAATGATGGAGGGGGAGTGGGGGGTTAGCTCACAGATAGATGGATGCTTCCCATGGCCAAGGAAGCCAAAGGGAGAGACGGGAGGTGGGGAAGGAGGAAAGGGGGATGGGATAAAAAGGAATCTGAATGAGAGCAAAGAGATTGCGGGTGGGAGTGAACTGAAGTGGTAGGCAATTGGAGGATGCAGAGAAGAATGGATGGGTTGTGTGTGTGTGTGTGTGTGTGTGTGTGTGTGTGTGTGTGTGTGTGTGTGTGTGTGAGAGTGAGAGAGAGAGAGAGAGAGAGAGAGAGAGAGAGAGAGAGAGAGAGAGCAAGCAAGGATCGATACCAAGTGCACTCAATTATCATTCCAGTACATCGTGCATGGGTGTTCATTCCTGCAAACTTTATGTGTGTGTGCGTGCGTGCGTGTGTGTGTGTGTGTGTGTGTGTGTATAAAGTCTTCTTCCACAACTCCCCCTAATGGGGAGTAGAGACAACACCACAGCCCCCCAGCCTTTTGGAGATTTGCAGTACAAGCCAAGCAAACAGAGAAAAACAAAGATGGTGAGTCTGATTTCTAAAAAAGATGGCAGCCGAGCTTCCTAATAAGGGCTATTTGATCAAACAACCACTTATAAGTGCACTGAGAAATCCCAATGGGTCTCCTCTCTTTGTGTGGTGCACCAGAGAGAGGGAGTCAGCTCAGAGGAGAGAAAAAACGACACGAAGCAGAAGGAGCTCAGATAGAATATCTGCTATTGCTTTATATTTGTCATTCGAGCAGAGACTTGCAGGAAAGTAACTGTAAATGACAGCGTTGTCAAATATTCCAGTGTCCTCTTGGCGGCGAGTTATTTATTCATATATGCACTGTCACACGCTGCAGGCACTTGAGAGCAGCTCAAGAAAAACCTGACAATCACACGACAGTAGAAAGGAGAGAAGAAGACAGGGGGAGAAAGAGGGGCTCCGGGGAGACGAGTGAACCTGTTTAAGGCAGGAGGAGGAAGTTGGCCTCGCAGTTCAAGCCTCTGCTGCAGGAAGGCATGCAGGAGTATGGCAAGCCATTTTATCACGTAATAGCTGCTTCAAAGCTGAGCAATTCACCCGTTGTTTTCCATGCTCAATTTTCAGTTCAGTCATTCTTTACACGTTTCTCAGTTTCACTGGGCCGGCCCAAAAGGACCACTTTCTGGACTGTTTAAGGGACCAACTGAGCATGTGAACTGGGATATGTACATGGAAAAGGCCCGGAAGTGTCACTTGTGCAGACGTCACCAAAAAACTGTCATTTGTTAAACTGGAAGAGTTGCTGGTGAAGAAAAAAGGAAACAAGCAGCATTCACACAGCTTTAAAATAGTTGTTTCTAGACTCCAATCAGCATCAAATACGACGTGAATGACCCCACAACGTCATAATTTAAAATGTTTTATTGGCTCACAGAGCACTGTAAAAAACTATGCCTCTTCTGGTCATTGAAGTTCACTTTTTAGGTGACACAGCTGCTCTCCGGGTCCCCTGAATAGATGAAATTATGATGTTGGTTTCTATTGGTAACAGGAACTATATCAGCAAAAAGAACTAGATATGGAAGATCCCTAGTTGTTCTAGAATTAATCAATAAAACGTAATAATTATTCACATGACCGTTTGACTGCCAAGTCTTAATTCTCGTATTTAAATTGTATTCAAACTGAATTAGAATGTCATCACAAATGTCATTATATTTTGGGCATCTAGTCGTCACTTTAAATCTAATTTTAACCTAAAACTGACAGTCTAGGTATGTTTGTGCTTGTGAATATGAAAACTTACAAAGAGAGCATCTGCGCTTGGTCATCGAGGAAACAAACCCTCCTTGATGTTAAAAATATTCTTTTTGAGGAATAAATCGACTGATATCCTTAACACCCGCCTGAGCTTAGACACGTTGAAACAGCGGTTGATGGTTAAAATCCTAAATGTAGTTTTTACTGTTTGAAATGTAATTTTAAGCGTTTTATTTATTAATCATGCTTGGTGAGAAATTAATTCAGACCGTCTTGTCAAATTAGATGTGTTTTGATGATTTTATGAAACAATGGCCTGCCATATCCCATGTGTCAGTCTACCTGCAGCAAAATGAAAGCCGTCACACCAACAACTTTCATTTCCCAGCTTGGATATCATTTCAAAGCTGATTTTTAATTGAGAGAAACTCCTTGAACCTCCCCCCGTGCATGCATGCGCGCGCGCACACACACACACACACACACACACACACACACACACACACACACACAATATTATCAACACAAGGCCTCCGTTCGATTACAATACACCCCCACAACCCTGCAGCCCACACATCACCACGGAGTAATCAAACACAACTTGCCCCGGTGGCGTGTTTTCACAAAAGCCACACAAAGGGGAAAAAATGTCTGATTAATCCAGCTCTCGAGGCGATCGCACTCCCACGAAGAGCAGAAGGGGGACAAAAACCCTAAATCGGCGGCGTGCCGCACAGTAAAATCACTGATAACAGCTCGAACCACAATAGGCCCACTGATTTTTATTTGACTCCTAGTGAGCTAAATCAGCAGTTGCTGCCCATTTCCCCACTGTGAGCAAATCACAGCCTCATTCAGTCCATGGCGGCACTGTCTCTGGCGCTGGAGCCCGTAGCCCAGTCTCGGCCACTTGGCAGCTTTGATTCCTGCCCCTGGGCAGTTTACTGGCACCACACTGTTTGGTGCCCCAGAGGGACATGGAGGAGGGGGAGGTGAGAAGGTTTAAAAGCAATGCTGAGACGTCTTAACAACCTGAATACTGTTATTAGCGTGTGTATGCTGTATATGCTGTGTGGGCGGCGCCGTTTCTGAAGTGACGGGTATTCCCGCTCCATCCCTAAACTCTCAGCTGAATGCTGCATTTACCCCCCCCCCCCCCCCCCCCCCCAAAAAGGGATTGGCTTCAATTTTTCACATCTGACAGCAAACCAGTCTGCTGCTGGATGTGTGTGAGTGTGTGTGAGGAACAGGATGGAGCAAAAGGGGAGGGGATGGAGAAGAACGGGAGGAGGAAACTTGCCTGTCTCTGCTGTGATCCCTCTTTCTTTTTCTTGCCATGTTTGCTGGAGGGGACAAAAGAAAGACAATGTCAGGATGTCGAATCCATCTCTCCCTCCAGTGGTCACAGGGCAGCACTGCCTGCCAGCTATCATAAAGAGAACATCATCTTAATCTACCGGCCTGTCTCCAACACCACCCCCCTAGGTGCCAGTTGGGTCCAGATTGGAAATGGATGAGCAAGATGACGGATCCACCAGATTCTCCACTCAGAAACGGCCACTTCAACACTTTTCATCAACTTTTTTTACAGATTAGACCTAAAAGAAGGGTCATCATCTCTTTCTAGTTGACTAACTGGCCGTGGCGGCGGCTACGTCAGCTTGGCTACACAGGTGTCGGTGCCAGGGATGGGCTCCGGCCTCTGCTCCAGTCCCTGACAGAGCCCCCCCAGGATGGGCACTGACCTGACGTTCAAGCTGAAGACACGTCGCGCCACCAGGAACCTCATCAGGTAGTAGATGACCACAATCAGCACCAGCAGGCCCAGCACCACCCCGATGATGGCCCCCGTGATCACACCCGCCTGGATCGGCACTTTGGGTGGACGAAAAGAAAAGAGAAGGTGTTTGAGGACGAGTCACTATGAAGGATGAAGAAAAGATGGAAGAGGAAGAGGAAACAAAAGGCTGAATAAACAGATTGGGAGATAGAGGGTGAAAAAAAATTATTAAGAACGATGAAAAATGGGACGAAAAGATGAGAGGGGAGGGGGCAGAAGAAGTGAAAGAGAGGCGGCGATGGTGATCTCAAATAAAGAACGAGATAAAATTGTAATTGATTTCATTTCAGAGCTGACACGAGCTTTTTAAATGAGGCAGAAAATATTTACATCAATCTCACGGTTCAGAATGATTCCTACAACGGAGAGCATTCTTCTTCTGGTAGAAAAATAATAAAGTATATGATGTGGAATTAGACTACAACAGCCCTGCCCCCTCACATTTCTCAAACACCAGCAGGCGGACGCTGGAGGGCCGGCCCACGATGTCAGGGGGGTTCTTGGCGTCGCAGGTGAAGGTGCCGTTGTCGCTGAAGTCCAGGTTTTTGATTAGGATGGAGCCGTCACGGCGTCCCGGGTTCCCCACAAACTCCAGCCGGTCCCGGAACGGGCCCTTGTTGTCGACGTAGGCCTCACCACCGGTGTAGTGGAAGATCTATGATGGACAGGCGAGACGTTCATGTCATCTACGTCAGCTTTCAAACTTTAAATACAACGTTTCCATTTAAATATGCTAAAATTTTCCCCTTTTTTCTGAAAGTTTTTGATTTAAACCCATGAGAAGTGTTGCGTTGCCATATGGAAGCAACTATGTCCACACAGATTTAGAGTTAGTTTCTGAAATGAGCTCAGGTTATTTTTAATTCCTTAGGAAGAAAGTCACACTTACACCAAAACACACAAGAACAGAGCTCAGTCCAAAAGACACGACAGCCAATAAAAACGCCACCATCAGAACGTTTTCATCCTGATGGGTCTGAATCGATGAGCATCATGATTCTGTAAAGATGAAGCTTATTGATTCTGGCTGAAGTTTTAATGAACAGCTAAAACATCACACAGACGGTTGTAGAAGTGTTGTTGATTCTTTAGCATGTCTTTCACCTCCTAATCAGGAACATTTGGATGTAAACTTTTTGCATCAGACTAGGGCCGCACGATATTAGGAAAACCTGCGATATTCGATAACTGTGATTAATATTGCGATGACAATATTACTAGCAATAAATAAATCTTAACTCAGGAACAAAAATATCCAAAAACAAAGAAATAAAAATATCATCAAAATGAGAAAAGCAAAAGATGTGAGGAAAGGGAAAAAGAAAATGAACAAGAAAAGGCGATCAGCGGGTCCCGGGAAAAGCTGAATCAGCAGAACTAAGCTAACTCAGGTGTTTGCTAACCATCAAAATGAAGTGCCATCCACCTCGGGGGCGGGCATCTGACCTATGAGAACCCACCCAATTGGTCAAATGGGTGAAGAGCTCTGTTTGATTTGTTAAAAAAAACATCATGCTTCTGTTTGATTGACAGAATGTATTATGTGTAGCAAACATTTGAGCTGACCATTCATTGCGATATTTATCTGTTCTTTGCGATATGCATATTGTGCATGCTGATATCGCGATAACGATATATTTACGATATATTGTGCAGCCCTACATCAGAGCATGACTATTTAAGTTAAAGGTTGAGCTCTTCTTGGAGGAATGAAGCTTCTTGTAAGCGTTTTAAACTAAAATCATCAGAAATGGTGGAGTTGGACACTGAGAGTGCTCAGAGTACGTGTGGTGATCCATTTTCAGCTTGTAACATAAAAATACCAAATTCACACTCAAAATCTGTACATCTGACCAAGTGATGGCTGTTTTTATTGCTGCCATCTTCAAATGTTGCACTTGGAATAAAGTCCATTAACTCAACTTAAGAGATCATTTAAAGATCAATATATTTTGAATACATTTGCAGCGGTCTCTAGTAGGAATGAATGCCTTGTAAGTCTGGGTAAAAAAGCTCTGGTGCACCTGTTTGAGAGTATAAAAGTCAGCTGGAGGAGAACGTGGCCTCAGATGACTTGGAGTCTTATTTCCTGATATTTGGACATCTTGACTCTACCACTGACTCTGTTTGCTCTGCAACGTTGATGTTTGACCTCCACAAATAACACGAGCCTGGAGGAGCTCTGCTGTGTGGTGGAGTTGCTACTGCTAATAGTTAGTATCTACTAGCCGACACGTTCTCTGCCATTTCCTGGAGGCTATACCAACAGCAGCCTGCCCCGTCGTGTCAAGATGGGTGAGACCGGTGTGATGTAGATCTGTCAGGATTAGAAGCTGATGCAGGAGATACGTGTAGCAGACTACTTTCATGTTCAGCATGCATGAAAAACTCGGTGTAACCAATCACATTCAAAAATAATAAATAAAAGTGGTTTTGCAGTGAACTTGCTCTTAAGGCTCAGGAACCCTTTGCAGATGTTCCGGGCTAACAAGATGATTAGTTTGACACGTTGGAATATTCGCACCATGTTCTAATTTTTCAAATGTGACGTTTATGTGCCTCCGCTCCCAAAAAAAAATAAAAAAATTACAGATTTTAGTTTAAAATCTGTGGAATTTCATGGATTTGAAGCCTATTAACAGTGTGTCTAAAATGACACACTAATGTGTTGGAGCTACCAATACTTCTGACGTAAAATGCACTTGTATGCACGTTACTATAACCAAGACTAACCAGTACATAGAACTTTACTTATGTTTACTACTGCTAAGTATCAGAAAAACTAGTTCAGAAAGAACACTACAAGTACTTTGTACTGATATGTATTAGTAGTGGTAACTTTGGAAGTGCATGCTACTCTGTAAGTATTAGTAGCTCTAACACTTTACCTACTCTAGTGTAGTAATTATTTCAAGTGCAATCGGTTTACGTAAATTTTCCAAGTAAAATTAACTAAGACTTTACAGTGTAGTGACCACGATGAATCAATTTTATTTAAATTATTACCAGTGACCATCCAGATGTTTTAGTTTTTATAAAATAAATCTAATTCCACCGAAACTCTAAGATTCATAAACTAAAAGCTCATTTGAGCATCATTAGTGTTTTATTTCATCCCCAAACCTCTCAGATGCATCTGATGCTGCTAGATTTAACCACTTCTGCAAAAATAAACTATTTTTAAACTTCCATATTTGGTCATTTTATTGGAAAAACTCAACAAGCATTTCTAATGAATAAGTGCACATCTTTTATGAATATTCACAGCTGATCACATGATGCAACGGCATCAGAAATACAAAAAAGAACAAGAAATGCTACTTGAAAGCAGACAGATGAATGAAACAGTAAATGTGTCCTGGCAGGGGAAGAAATGAGCGACTGAAGATAAGCAGGAGCAAAAGAAAAGGAAAGCGAGGCCTCTGCAGGGGAGAGAGATGAGGGCAAAGGAGGAGAGAGAGACTTAATGAGAGAGGAGAGGGAGGGATGGGGGGGATTAGGATGAGGTGGACAGAGGGAGGCAGAGATAGAGAGATTAGAGAGATGGAAGAGTGATAAGAGAGAGGAGAGGGAAATTAAAGAGCAGGAGGCCGAAGCAGCAAAGACAGAAAGTTTCATTAGTTAAAACTCGCTGGAGAAACCAAACTTTCTGCTTTTAAACCATCGACTGCAAAAAGTTTTTAAAATCCCAGAGATTTCAATTTTTCATTTTAGCCTGAATAAAACCACTTCAGAAAACCATTCCTCTCTGCCTGAAAGAGACGCTAAAAATGAAACGGCGCTCTGACAATCACTGTTTGTTTCCATAAAAGGTCTTGATTGTAACAAAGAAGTGTCCTCGAGTTGGAGGACGAGTCTCTTATTCAGGCAAAAGGAGGAAACCGTTTCGGTGAGGGGTCTTCAGCAGACAAAAGCTGCTTTGTCACAAATTACTTCCATCTTTGTCTGCCATTGGCCTCTGGACGTGCGGTGCCGTGATTTATCAGAGCGTCTTTAACGAAACAGCTGCAGCAGTAAACAACGGCGAGGAGGGCAGCGAGAGCAAATCAAACATCAGCGTTTCACAACCAAAATAACTTTTTACACAGGTTTCTTCTAAGTCACATATGTCAGACTCAAGGCCCGAGGGCCAGATGCGACCTGCGGAGCATTTTTATGTGGCCCACGAGATAAATATCAAAAATATACTATTAAAACTGGCCCGCTGGCCGATTTTACCGCAAAGACTTCAACTCCCATGATGCTTTGCGGCGTCAGCGCGGAGCCGACGCACCCCCCTCCTTTGTGTTTTTTCCAGCGCCGAGGCAGTCAGGGGTAGTTGGGTGTCTGCAGCTCCGCTGTCTCGGACAAACTACACTCCTCTCACTCAGCGCCGAGTTCACTCAGCTGTTTTCTGACGTTGAAGCCCGGAAACGGAGATTCTAGCCGCTCAGTAATGTGTTCACGACTGAAAGAGAAAGTTTTCCAACTAACGTCCAGACAGAGCTGATATAACTCCAGCGAGCAGCAATACGCTCAAACCAGCACGACTCTGTGGCTACTGTCGTGTTTCCTCCCCAAAACACAACAACGCGGTCAAGCTGCTCAGACATGTTCATCAGCACAAACCTATGTGAGCACCTGTTGTCATCTAATGGTGTCATTATTATGATGAAGATGAACAAAACAACAGGAGTCTCCTCCTCAGCTCAGATCAACCCTATGATGCAGGTATCTGGCTGGAACAGGTGAGCATCACAGTAAACCAGTGGAGCAAACTGAGCTTTAAATATGTTGGTTTTATGCTCTTTTTCTGCTCCAAAACATGAAAGTTAACAGGTGAGATGTTACATTTTCATTTAAGATAAAATGATATTTTTATTTTGTTGTTGGCCCGTGAGAAAATATTTAACCTACAGTAAACAGGAAGTGGAAAGACTGCAGATAGATGAATAGAATAGAAAATCCCTTTATTGTTCCTCAGTGGGGAAAGCTAGATGTCACAGCAGCGATGACACTTATTACAGGAGAAAAAAATGAGAATAAAAAATAAGAAAAATGAATAAACAAGAAAACATAAATCCTGAATAGATTTTAAAAATGCTGATTATACCTCCAGTAATGAATACCACTGATGCCTTTTATTTAAAACTGACTTGCTCGTGTGTCATTTGGTTATTCCACATTCAGTGTTAATGCAGAAATATGTTTGTTTCCTAATTTAAAGGTTCAAAATTGCATATATGTTGATAAAGAAAATGTGCAAATTTGCCGTCACTTTTTCAAAAAATATTAAGTTTGGCCCTCGACTCCTTCCCAGAGTTTCATTTCGGCCCCGTGTGAGTTTGACACCCCTGTTCTAAGTTGTTTTCTTGTACTGTTGGTGTATAGTTGTGTGTGGGCTTTTACAGAGATGCTGTCCCGGGAGCCATCGGGCCTGTAAGTCCAGGAGAAGGTGACGTCATCAGAGATCCAGCGCCAAGAGAAGAAGCTGCAGGAGAGCCGGACGTCTGAGCCCACCAGGGCGTGGCGTTCCCAGCCCGTGTAAATGGTTATGGCCTGGGAACGCTCAGGTGCTGGGACACACACACAAGTAAAATCTCACTTTCACATCACATCCGCTATAATACAAACAATTTAGCGCACGTTTGTGTGCAAACAGATGCGTGTTTGCACAGTAGCCTAAATGAGCAAACCCTGTGTTCTGATCCGTAGATTACGGAGTGTTTTTAAAGCCTTACTCTAATTACATCCAGCAACGTTCATCAGCATGCAGCCCTGAAATCTATAACATAAATCCCAAATAATTAGATATGCATCTCGATTGACTAACTGTACATTTAGAGGCGTCAAGTCCAGCATTGATCCACGCGCGCGTTCAGTAATTACTGGAATATGGGCGTGAGTCTCCCAGAGCCAAAGGGAATAGCATTTTCTTCATGAATATGTTGGGCTGAATCAAACGCCGTGTTTATGCTCCGGTATTATTTCATGATCAATGTTAATTTGGCTCCAAGAATCTATATTTCTCTTCAGCGCTCGGCATCTCAAACGAGCAGCAAACCTCCATGGAGGTGCAGCACCACCCCTGCCACTCAACAGCAACCGTGTTCCTCTGGCCTCCACAGACCACCATATTCGTGGATGGTGCCGAAATCCACCCCCCACCCCCTTTCGGGAGTCATGCGGGGCTTTCTGCTGCTTTCAACACCCACAGAGTAAAGTTCACAGCTTTGGCTGCGAGCGTCCTCCAGCGATAGCAAGCCCCCGCACTACTTGTCAATGAAATCACGCCTGACATATTTAATTAAAATTCTGACAAAAACATCTACAAATATCTGACAGGATGAAGTAGAAGGGGGTAGGGGGTGGCAGGGACTGGCTGACAGGAAAACTTCAGCTTGAAAGTCATAATATTATTGCTCTTTTACTTTTAAAACTTGGGAGACACCTGCTCTAAAGAAACTGTGTGCAAGTATCCATCACAAGTGTTTAACATGTAATCAATGCATCAAATGCAAATTAAAAGTTTAAATCTATCACACAATGCATGCTTTAAATCAGAAAAAAACACTTTTATCCCTCTTCTTTCATCGGGTTCATTAGTTTTATCAAGAGAAAACTTTCTCTCCTTCTAATCCTCCATTAACCTTTAACCCATGTCAAGGAAAAAGCTCATTTCTGCACCTTGGCTCTAAATTCAACACAAGCTTTTCTCCTTTTTTTGGACAACTCATCAAAATCTAATTACACAAAGTAAAAGAAAGATTTGCTCTCTGTTCTTTTTTTTACCTATTCCCAGGAGAACGATGGACGCCAGCACCAAAACTGTCAGCATGGTTTCTGTGGAGCTCCCAAAAGACAGACGTGACAGGATGAGTCCCGCTCTGCAGGGAGGAGAAAAAAACCCAGAAGAGGAGCGTGCAGCGGTGCAGGATGCCCCTGACAGACAGACGGACGGCTTCAAAACAGGACAACAACAGAAACCTCACTGTCCCCTGGTTTATACCCAACCACACCCCTCGTCCAGGCCCCGGCCCGTTCCTCCTCTCCTCCCCACCGACCTCCCCACATTTCCCTCACTGGCACAAATTAACACAGAATATCTTTTCAAGTGGGAGAAAAAGGCAGGCGAGAGGCACCTGTGCCGTACTGCAACTGAATTAATTGGATGCACAATGAGCAACTTGGGGCAAATTTGCAAACCCTGCACAGCATTAGGCCATGATGAATGCAACGTGTTAAATTAAACCCTCGCCATCCTGTGATTGAGTTGAGAGGGAATGACGATGAACACCTTGGAGTGTGGGCGCAGGTGAGAGCACGTGTTTGTGATGGAATCATGGGAATGTGCATGCAATAATCACATGAAGGACAGGTGGGAAGGTTCTGTTCGTGATGAGGATGAAGGAGATCTTGCACAGAGGCCAGTCCAGCGCTCTCGCCTCCATCCCCATGTCTCACCCCTGCATCTCCTTCGAATGCACTTTCACCGGGTCTGATTCCAGCAGCCCAAACAAAGAGCCCACTCTTTGCTCCCTGTCCTCCTTCTCTTCAGATTCCTGTCCTTTGCTGGCGTCTAGCACTCTGAGACAATGGGGCTAGAGGGGGACAGGGGCTGACTCGTGTTTGCTCGTCTGTCAATGGTGCCTTCTTTGTCTCTCGACCTCCTTCTGCTCAGACAAAGCTGCGCTTTCAGAGCGCAGCGCCCACTGCTCACTTTTCCAGTAACACAGACCGTGTAGGAGATCATGGAGAGTCCTGCCACATCCAGATGGGTTGATGTGAGGACATGAAGCTCCGAGAGCAAGGAAGCTGCAGCAGATGTTGCAGAGAAGGAGCAATAGCGTGAACAAGCAGAGGAATTTCTGGAGAAAAAACAAACTAATTTCTGCAGGCCTCATTTCATCATTTTGTCACACGTCATAAATATGCATTCATTATGCTGCTGGCGATGAAATAGAGAACGCGTGCACAAATCAGCACGCAGCCGCTCTCCTCCTGTGTTAATAAACACACCAGACATCCTCGATGCAGATGTCACCCTCGTCCACTCGCCCAACATTTCAGAGATAAAACTCAACGGACTCAACAAATCATTAAGCAGCAGATCCACTTCTTTGCCACTTTTCAGACCGCAGCATTTTTTTCCCCCGCTACTTGTGACAAATCCCAACCACTCGCTCATCTTAACACCTCACATTCCCCCGTTGATGGATCAGCTGAACAAAACGGACCATCTGCCAACTGGTTGGCGCCATCGACGATCTAAGCGTTTGGCTCCAACGTCTAAATCGCGACATCCTTAACAGTTGTGGCAGATCCTGCCTGGAGGCCTCCAGAGGAACAGAGGGGGATTCTTTATGAGTCTGGCAGGTGCAGAACGTGGCCAGGACCCAAACTCGTCAGCACCGAATGATGGTGGCAGCGGCTGAGCTTGGCAGGGAGGAACTGTATCACATACAGAACGAAGGCCCCCGTTCCTCTGGCTGGCAGTGATATAGTACACTAATGTTAGAGAGGGGGAGCTTATCTGCTGCTAAATAATACAGAGAGGGGAGGCAGGGGAGAGGGGAGAAAGGTACCAGCAAGGAAAAAGAAACACAGATAAGGGGAGCATTTGGAAATCTTTGCAGAATTGCACAGGACTCCACTAAAGCGTTTCAGCGATACTGAGGTGGACAAGGCTTCATATCAACTGTCGGTATTAGAGCTGAGTGAATACGCTAAGTACCTCAGGCTTCAGTCACTGTGAGAATGAAACCACTTCAGCTGTCGACTCGTGTAACTCATCAAGCTTGTTTTCACTGTGGCCTCAGTTGTATTTGGTGAGGGCATGTCGTTAGACACCCGTTGCAATCGACAGAGCAGATTTGGATCCTGCTTTTGATGCAATTACAAGCAAAAAGGATAGAATAAATACGCCAGCCGCACTTTTAAAAAAGCCCGGGGATAATCGGAATCTGGGAAAGCATCCCGAGCTGTATATGTCAGAGAACCCTGTCAACGCCGTCCTGCGACGCCGTGTGTGTTGGTCACGGCCTAGTGCACGCTGGCACGCGTACAGAAGAGACCATGAGGAATGCTTCAGAGATGGGGCGGCTCGAGGGTTCGCTGCCAGTCAAGATGGGAAGAAAAACACCCACAAAGAGAGACAGATAAGACCCCACACTACAGAGGCTGGCTCAGACAAAGGTCACAAGACTAATGACCGCCAACAATGATCCAATGAAGTGTGCTCTGCAGCTTTAACCCCCTCAAGTACCAGCCTCGCAGTGTGGGCCTAAGCACAGAAAAGTGAGGAACAACAAGTGCTGCTGTCATCATAAACCCATCAGAAAGTAGTTATGACTAAATCAACAGTTATGCTGCAGGGGTCGAATAATCAAATGAGACATTTCCATACTCAAACAAGCCAAATGAGCCGTGGAAAGCAATTGGCCAGAAAACTGTTAAAAGTCAAGGCCAGGAGCCAGGATTAAGCATGAATAAAGCTGTGCCATCTAGGTTCCCTAATTTGAAACAGGTTGACAACCCACTGAGTAAAGAAAGAATGCTTAATGACAAAAATACGACTAAAGTGCATCGTCTTAGTGAGGGGTTGAATTCCCCCAGCGCTGCTGCGAGGTAGACGCCACAAACACCTCGGTCTGTCTTACACTGAAATAAATATGAAGCTAGCTTTGGGGAAACGTTGCTTTAAAGGAGAAGGAGCATAAAGTTGGTGAGGAGAAGTTAGCCAAGAGCCTTCTTCAGCAGGTACAACCTGAAATGGTTCATATCCGTCTAACATGATCGTGATTTTTGTCTCGGTCTTTGTAAACCGTTGCCTAAAGGTGTTGAACACTCGTTTAATCAACACTTTTGCAGCGGTCCCTGGGAGGAATGAATGCCATGCAAGTCGTAACCAGGGGAAACAAAGCTCCGGTACGTCTGTTTAAAGATATTGCGGAGGATGTTTCTGAATTTCAGGAAAGAAATGCCCTCCACATTTTGAAGGAATGTCCATGAGAGAAAACTCAGCTGTCCTCGTAGCTGCCAACCTTGTACCAAATAGCATGCTTAACTTTACAGTAGCTTAGCTGTCCAGCTCCTGTGGGGAGCCCAGCCTTCGCTTTCAGTGTGCACCATCGTTGAAAAGAGCCTCCTAAATAAACTCTGGTCTTTTTCTCACTTCGGAGGCCTTTCTCTTCTTGTCGTGGACTTCGAAGACACTTTTTCTCTTGCAACTCTCAGCCATTTTCTAAAGAACCCGGAGAGAACAGTGAGGAAAGACGGCGTATCGCTTTACACATATACAAATGCGCAGGAAGTGAAAACTACCCAGGAACGAGCACGTACGACGAGATGATCAATGCCATTTCAACGGAAACTAAAACATCAACAGCCTTCCCTTTTGCGAGTCAAGATGGGTGAGTCCAAGTGACCACTTGACGTAGATCTGTCAGGCTTTTCTAATCCTAGCGTTTCACCGCCTATAGGTGTAGGAGACTATTTTCATGCCCAGCTTGCATGAACAACTCAGAGTGACCCATTATAATCAGAAATAATCATTAAAACTTTTTTATTCAGTGTTCCACACCTTTAAGTTCATTGTTGAACTGCATCTATTTTCAGGTCCAATCCCATCAAGTCAAACATGCCGAAGCCTGGACTTTAACTTTTGGCCATTCTGTTCTATTTCTACTGCTGTGTTTTGGATTATTGTCCTATTTTATGACCGGTTGGATTCCAACTTCAGGCCAGCGGCTGCAGAAGACCCCCCTCCCAAAATCATCAACCTTCCACCACCTTTGGCCTCATTTGTCCAAAGATGATTATTCCAGAAATCGGATCAGATTTGGGACGGTCTGTTCAGAAGGAAGTTTGTAGGTCTAAATTGTGGCGTGTCGTCGTGCTAATGGAGTCCAGCCATGAGCTTTAACCTTTAACCCGCTAACTGATGTCAGACACGTCTGAGATGGACATTCTAACCTAAGGGGGGATTTGCTATAATGTCCTTGAATGTTTTTTATTTCTGAATAATTTGGGAATGCATTTCTTCTCCAAGGTCACTGCTTAAGCTCTTGCTTCCTGTGTTCACACACGGCTGTATGCTCCACACCGGTAGGATCAAAAATCCTGCTTTTCTAGAGACGGACACACCCATGATGATCAGTTAGTCGATACATTTGATCAGCGGCAGAGAGCTGCGCCCTAACCTCGTAAATCCTGTGGAAGCAGCAAAGATGGTGTTTCACTTCAATAATTAACAGAGTGGTGGAATCTGCTTTTGCACACCTACGGTTAAAGTCGAATGATTTGAGCTTCATTTTTTGGAGATCTAAGGAAAAATGAATTCCTAGGAAGTTTGTTCTAAAAGAGGCTGGTTGGTGTCGGGGATCTGGTGCCGAACTTGGGACCAGGAGGACAGTCATCTCCAGAAGCTTGCTGACATTCAGCAGCTTGCTTGTGACATAAATATGTACAAGAGACACAAGTGGGCTTTTTCTTCCCAAGTATGTTTTTATTCCTGCACGATCTTCCACCCAAAACTACTTTTCGTTAAATGGAGGTGAGGTGCACACACATCTGCACCGTCCTTTGTGTTTAGGACCTGTTGGTGTGGGGACCTCTAGCCGAGGGACATCTTTATAAAGGCTGCAAAGAAAGAGGGAGCTTGACATCATCAAATCTGAAAGGTTACTGGCCAACGCTCGGCACTCCTGCTCAAGAAAAACACTATTGATATTCTGTAGGCTCGGCTGTGGACAAAGGCAGGGCCTGTCCCGCAGTCCCACCCTCTCCTTCATGGCCTGGCATGGCAGAGATGTCACAGAGAGCACCAAACAAATGGATGGAGAGATAGAAAGGGGAAAGAGGGATGGGGAGGAGGTGGAGGAGAACAAATGCATTGTTCCAGGGGCGGAGAAAGGGGTATTGTGAAGAAGACAGATAGCTTATGTGAGAGAAATGGGTGAGGGAGGAGGGAGAGGCACAAAAAAAGAACATAGAGGTGAAACCTGGAATTTTCTGTTTAATAATAGCTGCCCTCTTTTTGT